TTATACACATTTGGATTTTTACTGCTCGTTCTTACAAGTAAGCCTGACTCACTGATATATTACATTTTAAAAGAATATTAAATACTGTTGTCTCTGTAATCAGCACCACTCTGTGCTTATGGGACAACACATTTTAAATGAATTCCTACAAATTGCTTGAATTCAGACTTTACCTTAATGACATAAATTGACCTTGTTCACAGGAAAAGTGGAGAGTGTTACCTTTGAACAGTCCTCTGCTCAAGTTGTGAAGGACGGGACCAAGGAGGTCACGATTGATTGCAGTCACGATGACAGCAACCTCCAATATATGCTGTGGTACCAACACAAGCCGAGCAGTGGGTCTATGAGCCTCATTGGGTACTCACTCCTCAATGGTGAACCAAACTACGAGGTCCAGTTTAAAGACAGATTCCAGATAAAAAGCGGCACACAGAAAGGATCTCTGATCATTCCAACAGCGAATCTGTCAGACTCAGCTGTGTATTTCTGCGCTGCTAGCACACAGTGATGTGGTTTAATACAACTGCTTCACTAAAAACCTCCTACGACATGGGAACAATAACAGCTGTGGCTCTGGGTTCTAGTCATTTGAGATTGTGGAGAATTCAAATGTTGGAGGCTGACAGCACTTTGCTGCACCGGTAATACGACAGGAAAAGGGGTACATGAGCATATAAAGTCTGCTAATTATAATTAAGAATCCAAACTACATACAGCAGGGTCCTGAGGAATAGATTCAACCAATAGGTGGAGGCACAGCACATGGTTTGCAGCTTTTATGATGGGGATGTGATGATGATTAACCCACGCACAGACACAACCCCCCTCCCTCTTCATCCTGAGCCTTATTTTTCTTTGTGCAATACTTTACTCACATCAGTGCCTGACCATGTCCTCATCTGTGCTAACCTTTGCTCTTCTCTTCATCTGTTTTCACTGTAAGAAATGTCATCCTGAATTGGACATTAAAGCAGTCATTATATCATTATTTATACAACATGCTGAACATTATCTGTGCTTCCTCCACAGGTAAAGTGAGCGCTGTTAGGTTTCAGCAATCTCCTCCCCAGATAGTGAAGGAGAAAACCGCTGTTCAGATTAACTGCAGCCACGATGATACTGGCCTTCCATATAATGCTCTGGTATCAGCAAAGACAGGACAGTCAGTCTATGACCCTCATTGGGTATGGATATGGAACAGGTAGCCAAAACTACGAGGATCAGTTTGAAGAACAATTCGAGCTGACGAGAGACGGCACAGCCAGAGGAACGCTGATGATTCACAGAGCAAACCTGTCGCACTCGGCTGTGTATTACTGCGCTGCAAGTACACAGTGATGTGGTTTAATGCCACTCCCTCACTAAAAACCCTCACCATCCTGTGAATGAGACATTTGCAGTTGAGGCTCTTTCTTGATACATCGTTGGAGGAGGCTGTGTCCCTCCTGCAACAGCACAAACTTGAAAATGTCTCCAGCTGTGATATCATTTCTGCTCATCTTGCTTCCATGTAATGAAATTAGCTGCAAAAACTGCAATTTAATTGTGTTGTTAATTTACAAAGACATTTTACGCTTTTACCTTTTTTCACTGGGGCTTCTGTATCATTTACTTTTAAAATCTGTGTTTTTCTCCACAGATCGAGCCAAGAGTGTGACATTTCAGCCATCTCTTCCCAGAATAGTCGAGGACAAGGCCAGAGTAGAAATTACATGCAGTCATAATGATAACAACCTCTATGTAATGCTCTGGTACCAGCAAAAAGAGAGAGGTTTGATGAGCTTGATTGGATTCAGCTATTCTGGCAGTGAGCCCAACTATGAGAAACATTTTAAAGGTTGGTTTAAGATTACAAGAAAAGACATCCAAACAGGAGCTCTGATTATTCAGAGTGTGAATTTATCAGACACGGCTGTGTATTACTGTGCTGGCAGTACACAGTGATGTGGTTTAATGCCACTCCCTCACTAAAAACCCTCACCTTCCTGTGAATGAGACATTTGCAGATGAGGCAGAGTCTCTATTTACACTGACTCTCACTGGTGGAAGCTGTGTTTCTCCTGCAGCAGAGCAAACCTGGAGGATGTCTCCAGTTGTGATCGGATTTCTTCTCTTCTTGTTGCCATGTAATGAAATTACCTACAAACAACATTAATGGTTTTTTTACACAGTTGCTTTTGTATCAACAACTATTCTTAATGTGTGCTTTCCCCACAGATCGAGGCCGAGCTAAGAGTGTGACGTTTCAGCCGTCTCCTCCAAAAATAGTCAACTAAAAATACTGAAGTGGACTTTAAATGCAGTCACAATGATAGCAGCCTTAATGTAATGCTCTGGTACCAGCAAACAGAGAGCGGTCTGATGAATTTAATTGGATACGGCTACACTAGCACTGACCCCACATATGAGAAAGAGTTTGAAGATCGGTTTAAGATTACAAGAAAAGACATCCAAACAGGAGGTCTGACTATTCAGAGTGTGAATCTGTCAGACTCAGCTGTGTATTACTGCGCTGCCAGTACACAGTGATGTGGTTTAATATCAGCCCTCACTAAAAACCCTGTTCTCTTCTTTCTCTCTGTTTCAAGTTCAAGATCCTGAGAGGCAGGCTGGTGTAATTAGCTTCAAAACAGATAAACAAAAATAAAGTGACTCTTTACAGTCACACAGTCTCAAAGAAGTCCTTTTACTTAAAACTCACTTTTAAAGCACACAGTAGAATTGATGGCTGCAATATACAGTCAAAAACTGTATGCAATGACAAACTCATTTCATTTTTAATTTCAGACTGCCTCATATCCCAGCTATGACAGATTTTCCCAATTTATCCAAATCCATTACTGCTGTTGGTATGTACACTTTACCACCTACAGCAGATCAAACTAAATCAACAAAAGTGAAGATCAAAATACAAATGCAGTGAGCCAGTGCTGTCTTTAATAACAACAAAAAGCTATAGGAAAACTTCTCACCACTTTGTACAAGCAGAGGGAAGGAGATAGTAATAACAGACACAATAATATGGCAAAGCAGAATAGCAACATAAGCAGCAATCTATTGCATAACCAATTCAGCCACAACACACTCAAGATGCTCAACCATGAGTGTTCATATTTCACCATTAAAGAATCATACAAGTGCCAAACATCAACCAATGGGAAAAGTCTCAGCCATTCAAAGACATAAAAATTAACAGAATAAAATAGCAGCCAAGACAGCAGCTCAAAAACATCGCCACGTTAAATTCAAACTTATGATGCAAAAAAATCACTCCCAACCATATTGCAATCATAATTATCTGTCAAAATAAAAGCATTATGGTGTATTTTAAAAACATCAACTCACAATATACAGGTTAGCACAAAACATAAACTCTTACCTTGGTAAGGTGAAGCTTTGATTTCTAGCAATTCCGAGAAGAGAAATCCCATTGGAATAAAATCCCAAGCAACCAAAAGCAGGAACAGAAAACTCCGGATGGAAGTTTGAAGGTGGCATTTGCGGCCAACCGTTGGTGTTAGGATCCATGTTTGATATCAACAACCGATGAATTGACTACATTGGCAGGTTGAAGTGCTGTGAAGACATCAAAAAACCTCCACATGTCCTCCTGATGCAACATTAATAAAAGATTTAGCTGTAAACTTTTAAAAACTAGCTTAATTTACTGTATTTTCTACTGTGTAACGAGTGGGCGGGGCATTGTCAGTTTAAAAAGACGATGTTGACCAATCAGGGTCCACCATGGCTCAATTACCTGGTTTTCATCCAATCACCTCAGCAGGTGATTAATTAATTGAATACACTTCCGTTTTTCAGTAAACAGAGATATATTGTATAAATTCATTCAAAATATGAAAGTTATAGGGATAGTATTCTCCATTTATATACATGAACAAATATTATCCCATTAAAGTAATCACAATTTTCATCAAGCATAAACTGGTATTAAGATTTTTAATGTAGTGAATTAATTACAAAAATAAATTAGAGGAAGTTAAGTTAATTATAAATATATATATAAAAATAATAGATGCTCTTTGGATCACAGATGGTTTTTGTTGGGGATGAAAACCTACAGATAACCCTGGCTTATTTGTAAAAGGAAAAAAAAGGACTGCATTAAAGATTTGAACTTTATTTACTAAATTCTTAGAAGTAAAAAGAAAATCTATGAAAAGAATATAAAAAGAGGTTCTAAGCAGGAGGCAGTATACATAAACCTACAATATGATGAATTAAAAATGTTCAATAATACAACTACAAATTAGCTTTAGAAGACAGATTATTAGTATCATTATTGATTATTGATTGATTATTATGATGATTATTAGTATAAAAGGTCAAAAACTTCAGATTTTCTAACTTCAGCCATTATACTGAGCAAAACCAATAGTAATTTAAGTGTATTCATTTGTGAAAAATAAAAGTGCAGCACTTTTTACAAGAGGAGCTGAGCAGAGGAAGAAGGTGGGGAAGAGGAGGTGTGACGTATGGAGAAGGGAAGTCATCTCTCATTTAATCTGCAATAAGTTTGTCAGACCGGAGGAACATTTGAATGTTACACCTCTGACACCAGATTTCAGTTAATGCTGTCATTGTAAAGTTGATATGGAAACAATTGTGCATTTCTTTTTGTTATTTGTTGCTGTTACACAGGTGTTGATTTAACTTTAGTTTCCAGGATGCCTCCAGCTTTATACACATTTGGATTTTTACTGCTCGTTCTTACAAGTAAGCCTGACTCACTGATATATTACTTTTTAAAGAATATTAAGTACTGTTGTCTCTGTAATCAGCACCACTCTGTGCTTATGGGACAACACATTTTAAATGAATTCCTACAAATTGCTTGAATTCAGACTTTACCTTAATGACATAAATTGACCTTGTTCACAGGAAAAGTGGAGAGTGTTACCTTTGAACAGTCCTCTGCTCAAGTTGTGAAGGACGGGACCAAGGAGGTCACGATTGATTGCAGTCACGATGACAGCAACCTCCAATATATGCTGTGGTACCAACACAAGCCGGGCAGTGGGTCTATGAGCCTCATTGGGTACTCAGTCCTCAATGGTGAACCAAACTACGAGGTCCAGTTTAAAGACAGATTCCAGATAAAAAGCGGCATGCAGAAAGGATCTCTGATCATTCCAACAGCAAATCTGTCAGACTCAGCTGTGTATTTCTGCGCTGCTAGCACACAGTGATGTGGTTTAATACAAGTGCTTCACTAAAAACCTCCTACGACATGGGAACAATAACAGCTGTGGCTCTGGGTTCTAGTCATTTGAGATCGTGGAGAAATCAAATGTTGGAGGCTGACAGCACTTTGCTGCACCGGTAATATGACAGGAAAAGGGGTACATGAGCATATAAAGTCTGCTAATTATAATTAAGAATCCAAACTACATACAGCAGGGTCCTGAGGAATAGATTCAACCAATAGGTGGAGGCACAGCACATGGTTTGCAGCTTTTATGATGAGGATGTGATGATAAATTAACCCCCGCACAGACACAACCCCCCTCCCTCTTCATCCTGAGCCTTATTTTTCTTTGTGCAATACTTTACTCACATCAGTGCCTGACCATGTCCTCATCTGTGCTAACCTTTGCTCTTCTCTTCATCTGTTTTCATTGTAAGAAATGTCATCCTGAATTGGACATTAAAGCAGTCATTATATCATTATTTATACAACATGCTGAACATTATCTCTGCTTCCTCCACAGGTAAAGTGAGCGCTGTTAGGTTTCAGCAATCTCCTCCCCAGATAGTGAAGGAGAAAACCGCTGTTCAGATTAACTGCAGCCACGATGACACTAGCCTTCCATTAATGTTCTGGTATCAGCAAAGACAGGACAGTCAGTCTATGACCCTCATTGGGTATGGATATGGAACAGGTAGCCAAAGCTACGAGGATCAGTTTGAAGAACAATTCAAGCTGACGAGAGAAGGCTCAGCCAGAGGAACGCTGATGATTCACAGAGCAAACCTGTCGCACTCGGCTGTGTATTACTGCGCTGCAAGTACACAGTGATGTGGTTTAATGCCACTCCCTCACTAAAAACCCTCACCATCCTGTGAATGAGACATTTGCAGTTGAGGCGCTCTTTCTTGATACATCGTTGGAGGAGGCTGTGTCCCTCCTGCAACAGCACAAATTTGAAAATGTCTCCAGCTGTGATATCATTTCTGCTCATCTTGCTTCCATGTAATGAAATTAGCTGCAAAAACTGCAATTTAATTGTGTTGTTAATTTACAAAGACACTTTTACGCTTTTACCTTTTTTCACTGGGGCTTCTGTATCATTTACTTTTAAAATCTGTGTTTTTCCCACAGATCGAGCCAAGAGTGTGACATTTCAGCCGTCTCTTCCCAGAATAGTCGAGGACAAGGCCAGAGTAGAAATTACATGCAGTCATAATGATAACAACCTCTATGTAATGCTCTGGTACCAGCAAAAAGAGAGAGGTTTGATGAGCTTGATTGGATTCAGCTATTCTGGCAGTGAGCCCAACTATGAGAAACATTTTAAAGGTTGGTTTAAGATTACAAGAACAGAAGTCAACATAGGAGCTCTGATTATTCAGAGTGTGAATCTATCAGACACGGCTGTGTATTACTGCGCTGGCAGTACACAGTGATGCGGTTTAATGCCACTCCCTCACTAAAAACCCTCACCTTCCTGTGAATGAGACATTTGCAGATGAGGCAGTGTCTCTCTTTACACTGACTCTCACTGGTGGAAGCTGTGTTTCTCCTGCAGCAGAGCAAACCTGGAGGATGTCTCCAGTTGTGATCGGATTTCTTCTCTTCTTGTTGCCATGTAATGAAATTACCTACAAACAACGTTAATGTTTTTTTTTCCACAGTTGCTTTTGTATCAACAACTATTCTTAATGTGTGCTTTCCCAACAGATCAAGGCCGAGCTAAGAGTGTGACGTTTCAGCAGTCTCCTCCAAAAATAGTCAACGAAAAGAACAGAGTGGACTTTAAATGCAGTCACAATGATAGCAGTCTAACAGTAATGCTCTGGTACCAGCAAACAGAGGGCGGTCTGATTAATTTAATTGGATATGTCTACACTAGTGACCCCACATATGAGAAACAGTTTGAAGATCGGTTTAAGATTACAAAAACAGGCACCCAAGCAGGAGGTCTGACTATTCAGAGTGTGAATCTGTCAGACTCAGCTGTGTATTACTGCGCTGCCAGTACACAGTGATGTGGTTTAATATCAGCCCTCACTAAAAACCCTGTTCTCTTCTTTCTCTCTGTTTCAAGTTCAAGATCCTGAGAGGCAGGCTGGTGTAATTAGCTTCAAAACAGATAAACAAAAATAATGTGACTCTTTACAGTCACACAGTCTCAAAGAAGTCCTTTTACTTAAAACTCACTTTTAAAGCACACAATAGAATTGATGGCTGCAATATACAGGCACAAACTGTATGCAATGACCAACTCATTTCATTTTTAATTTCAGACTGCCTCATATCCCAGCTATGACAGATTTTCCCAATTTATCCAAATCCATTACTGCTGTTGGTATGTACACTTTACCACCTACAGCAGATCAAACTAAATCAACAAAAGTGAAGATCAAAATACAAATGCAGTGGCCAGTGCTGTCTTTAATAACAAAAGCAATAGGAAACTTCTCACCACTTTGCACAAGCAGAGGGAAGGAGATAGTAATAACAGAGACAATAATATGGAGCAGAATAGCAACATAGGCAGCAATCTGTTGCTAACCTTTCCCAAACCTCAGATGCTCAACCATGGTGTTCATTTTCCATTAAAGATCATACAAGTGCCAAACAGCACCAATGGGAAAGTCTGCCATTCAAGCATAACAATTAACGAAAATAGCAGCCAGCGGCTCATAAATGATCACATCATCTTTTAATTGTTTTTTGTTCAGTGAAATTAATGATGCAAAAAAAATCACTCCCAATCATACTTATCTTACTTACTACTACTTATTATTACTCATAATTATCTGTCAAAATAAAAGCATTATGGTGTATTTTAAAAACATCAACTCACAGGTTAGCACAAAACATAAACTCTTACCTTGCTGAGGTGAAGATGTAATTTCTAGCAATTCCGAGAAGAGAAACTCCATTGGAATAAAATCCCAAGCAACCAAAAGCAGGAACGGAAGACTCCAGATGGAAGTTTGAAGGTGGCATTTGCGGCCAACAATTGGTGTTAGGATCCATGTTTGATATCGAACAACCCACGAATTGACTACATTGGCAGGTTGAAGTGCTGCTAAGACATCAAAAAACCTCCACATGTACTCCTGATACAACATTAATAAAAGGTTTAGCTGTAAACTTTTAAAAACTGTGTAACGAGTGGGCGGGGCATTGTCAGTTTAAAAAAAACGGTGTTGACCAATCACCTGGCTCAATTAGCTGGTTTTCATCCAATCACCTCAGCAGGTGATTAATTAATTTAACACACTTCCGTTTAACAGAGATATATTGTATAAATTCATTCAGTGAATATTACAGTTAAGGGATAGTATTCTCCATTTATATATTATATATTATCCCATTAAAGTAATCACAATTATCATCAATAAATTGGTATTAAGATTTTTTTATGAAATAAAAGATGTTGGATAAATTATAGGAAGTTCAGCTAAATATAAATATCTGACAATAATAGATGCTCTTTGGAGCACAGATGGTTTTTGTTGGGGATGAAAACCTACAGATAACCCTGGCTTATTTGTAAAAAAGGCACTGCATTAAAGATTTAAACAACTTTATTTACAAAAGCTCTTACAAGAAACCAGAGAATCTATGAAGAGAATAAACAAATAAGTTGTAAGCTGGAGGCAGTATAGATTAAAAACTACAAATTAAGTGTTAGTGGTTTTTTCTTGACAAGAGGACCTGAGCAGAGGAAGAAGGTGGGGAAGAGGAGGTGTGACGTATGGAGAAGGGAAGTCATCTCTCATTTAATCTGCAATAAATTTGTCAGACCGGAGGAACATTTGAATGTTACACCTCTGACACCAGATTTCAGTAAATGCTGTCAATCTAAAGTTGATATGGAAACAATTGTGCATTTCTTTTTGTTATTTGTTGCTGTAACACAGGTGTTGATTTAACTTTAGTTTCCAGGATGCCTCCAGCTTTATACACATTTGGATTTTTACTGCTCGTTCTTACAAGTAAGCCTGACCCACTGATATATTACTTTTTAAAGAATATTAGGTACTGTTGTCTCTGTATCTGCGTCACTCTGTGCATATGGGACAACAAATTTCAAATGAATTCCTACAAATTGCTTGAATTCAGACTTTACCTTAATGACACAAATTGACTTTGTTCACAGGAAAAGTGGAGAGTGTTACCTTTGAACAGTCCTCTGCTCAAGTTGTGAAGGACGGGACCAAGGAGGTCACAATTGATTGCAGTCACGATGACAGCATCCTCCAAACTATGCTGTGGTACCAACACAAGCCGGGCAGTGGGTCTATGAGCCTCATTGGGTACTCAGTCCTCGTGGGTGAACCAAACTATGAGGCCCAGTTTAAAGACAGATTCCAGATAAAAAGCGGCACACAGAAAGGATCTCTGATCATTCCAACAGTGAATCTGTCAGACTCAGCTGTGTATTTCTGCGCTGCTAGTACACAGTGATGTGGTTTAATACAACTGCTTCACTAAAAACCTCCTACGACATGGGAACAATAACAGCTGTGACTCTGGGTTCTAGTTATTTGAGATCTGACAATATTATGCTGTTTACTGAGGTATGATTCATGTACTGTATTTATAATTGATAGGGGTGCATGATATGGTTTTCAGCCAATACATTAACTCTTAATTACTTTCTTCTCATGGCCAATATTGAAGTTAATAACCTGTAGTTTATGCACATCTAAGGGTAAGAAAGGTTTAAATGTAGTGAGCAAAGATGGCTGATTTAATATTCCATAGCTGCGACCTAACCAAATCTAACTGCTGTTAACACGCAACACAACTAAAACAAAGAACAGTTTTTATAATATAACCCTTGTATTGTTCTTGTACAGTTCAGTAAAAACTTCCCAGACATACTTTGGCTTTTATGGAACATGAAGCCTATCAAGTGTTTTTCATTAGAATTCAAAATAAATCATAATTATCATCAACAGATTATTTATCGGCTATAATTGAACAGCCCTGACAATGATCATGCATCCCTACTAATTGATGGGACCTTTGATTAGTTATATGTTGAATTAACTGAACATGTAGCTTGTGCTATTTACTGCAAAATGCAAATATGTTTCATAAAAAATATAAATAAAAGTAAATTATACATTAAATACATCCTGGGAGTTTCTTAATAACAGTAACTGACAATTATGTAATGAAAGCTGCTCATGTTGTGATGAATAATGTGCATTCACTAATAATGTAACACCTTGTAAGGATAAGAAAAACTTTAATATTGTATTATGTTGTATGTTATCACTGTGTGTTAATCACATTATTTAGTTATTGTATGGAATTCAACTTTTTTTTTACTTGTATTGCTTGTAAATTAAATATTTAGGTATTTATACGAAGTAATTTCTCTTTATATCATTTAGGGTGTGTCATCCCAACTAAAATACATTCAGTATAAAGCTTTAGTGTCTGATGTTGATGTAAATACTGTTTCAGATGACCGAAATAACATTTGTGGTCACCATTAAATGCTTGACACTTGCAGAAGTAAATCTAGACCAATATGGAATCAGATATTTAAGACACTTTTAAGACATTTAGTCTTGAAGACAAGACATTTAGTCTCAAATTTCTGATTCCATATTGGTCTTCAAACCTGCTCTGATCTCTCGAAGTGTCGGTTGATATTCAGCGATGATACAGTACTTCCTCTCCAGTCATGTGATCATGGCAGCATGTGACCTCGTGTTACCTTTGAACAGAGCAGCGTTTATCTGCCTCATTCAGCTGGAAGAAGGCTCATCGCTGACATGCTTATCACAATCCTTTCTCTGTCGCTTCTTTTACACTCAGGTGGGGTTTTGTGTGTTAACTCATAATGGATGTACTGGCTAACCAGTACTCAAAGGGTCCAGTTCCCATCAAATGTACACATCTTTTATTCACTGTTCTGTATATTGAGGTGAGACATGATCAAACTTTATCCTTCGTGTGCTGCAGGTCTAACAGTTGTAGTTCTTCAGTCTGGAAATCAAATTTCTCACTCAGGAGTCAAAGTGGCGATGAAGTGCAGCATGGGTCAAGGGTTAGATATGGCCAGCTACACCATGTTGTGGTACCGGCAAAACCACCGCGGAGCTGCAATGGAGTTCCTCGTCAAAGAGTATGATGAAACTGTGGGGCACTTCCAGTCGTCGATCGACACATCCAAAAACAGCTTCTCTCTTGAAATTACTGAGCTATTCCCGAACGACAGCAGCACCTACTACTGTGCTGCCAGTCACAGTGATGCATACAGACCAGGCAGTCATACAAATAACAGTCTGCTACAGATGGCACACAGGCAGGAAGGAGCTGTGGTTCATTTGGCTTGATACTAAACTGTCAGACTGTAGTTGCCATAGTGGAAGTGGAGCAATCGTGATATGGATTCAGAATAGTCAAAGCTTCACAGTTCATATCAAGAGAAGCTATAAACTCTCCTCTAAAGTCTTGTAGGAATCAGCTCCAGTGCTCTTGAGAGAACTTTAACCTGCAGTTGCAGCTCAGTGGCCACTAGGAGACTGTAGCTGCACTTAAAAACTCTCTGGAAAAAAAAAAACTTTCTGGAAAAAGTCAGACCAGAGAAGACAGGAAGAGGCAGATCTTATGTGTCTGCAGCTGTTCAGTGAGGTCCAGCAGCAGCTTTTCATCCTGAAGGCAAAGTTATGATTGTGGATGTAGACGGGTCTGATTTTAGTATCATCAAAATGAAGCTGCTCTGGATCTTCATCTGCATCAGTAAGGACAGTTAAATTCAATTGAGAAAGAAAAATCTAATATGTTTTTTTCCTTTACAGGTTTCCTCATTTAAAGTTTACTTTCTTACTTTCAGGTTCTTCTGTTGGTGTGAAAGTTCACCAGCCTACATTAGGATTCAGCCGTGAAGGAGACCTGGCTGTAACCTTGCAGTGTGAACAAGATGATGAACAATATTTCTACATGTATTGGTACAGACAAAGCAGCAGTGGTGATATGCAGCTAGTATCATATTCTCTCAGTAAAGGTTCGGCAAGGGTTGAAGCTCCATTCAACACGACCAAGTTCACCATGTCACGGCCTACGCTGCTCAATTCCTCTCTGCAGATACACAGTGTAAAAGCTGCAGACTCGGCTGTATATTACTGTGCGTCTAGCAGAGCACAATGGTTCAGAAAGCCTCAACAGCTAAACAACAACCTCAAGAACAAACAACCTCAAACCGGGAAGAGAACACAGGGAGGAGGAATGAATGAGGACAGTTATTCTTTTGATCTCTGAGGGACTCTGAGTATGATTTTGCGAACATGACAACAAACTGACATAAAAATATGAAAGAAAACTTTTTTAATGGCAAACTTTTCATTCATTATAGGTACAAGAACTGCTTCTCCACAAGTCATGATATCTCTGCAGCAATACCGCAAAAGCTGATCGATTGAGATAAGCGAGCAGGTGTTAACTTGGTAAAGATTTCTCATCATATTCAGTACTATTGTCCAATACAGTTTCTCTGATGTGTGTCACTCTGTGTTTTAGTCTCTGCTGCTTTATTTTACTGTAATTCTGTGAGCAGTCTGTCAATATGAAAGTATATCAGGTCTAAGAGGTTATCATACACTGACCTCTACAGGGTTCATGAGGGATTACAGTTAGAATAAAAATAAAAATCACCTTGTGCTTTTCAGAAGTTAGGATGATATGTCAAATAGGAACCAATCAAAATGTGAAACTGGTATTAAAATGGTATTAGAAATAAAAGCTCCATGTACCAAGGCTGAGTCTTTGCTGCAGTGGTCACAGGTTTGAATCCAACCTGTGGCCCTTTGCTGCGAGGCCTCCCCTCTCTCTCCCCTTTTCCTGTCATTTCCTAAAGCTGTCCTGTCTAATAAAGGCGAAAAGCTCCCAAATATATATTTTTAAAATGACACAAAATAGTGAGTCTTAATAAGGTGCAACTTACATACAAGATATATGTGACCTCGGCAGAACTACTGCACTATACGTGCAATATCATAGAAATGCTTACAACATAGTATAAGTTGCAGTTTAGATTAAGTAGTTCAAGTCTCCCAGCCTACTATAAATCATTCTGCTAAATAACCATGGAAATGTACAGCATAACACCTCAACAGACAGTGTACTATGTTATAAGTTTAAAAAAAAAACATGCATTCACTATTATGCACTACTAATTTAATATATTTATTTATAGGAATGAATAGAATATTCATTGAATACACTAATGTCACATATGAACATTTACTGTATAGCTGTAAGTTAATCTGCAGTGGTGGAATGTAACTAAGTACATTTGCTCGTGTACTTAAGTACGAGTTTGAAGTACTTACTCACTTGCTTACTTACTTTACGTTTGCATTTTATACAGTCCTATAGCTCCACTCCATAGACCGATAAGTTGATATATTATTATAGATTGAGTTTGTAGTTAAGATTAGCTCAACGTTTACCAGCTGCAACACTAAAGTGATGCTTACATATTGATGCATCTGTGATTATGATCCATTCATATAATATATGTGATTCTGACATGAGTCTTTCTGCATAAAGAGTTTGTTTACTTTTGGTGATATGTCATATACTTTGATGCTAATACTTGTGTACCTTTGCTTAAGTAATGCAGGACTTTAACTTGTACTTATATTTCCATTTCTACACTGTGGCATTGCTACTTTTCCTTAAGATTGGAGAAATATTCTTCCACCATTGCTAGTTTGCAAAGCTGTATGGATTCTTTTAATTGAATGAATTGAATAAAACTGTAAATAAATAGTTCCATAAAATGGTGAGAGAGAAAATATTTCCATATCAGATGTTATGAGGGAGTTGGAATAAAGAATCTACAACAAAAATTATTGAGGAAATTTATATTGATGTCATCCTGCAGCGTCTTCACCATCTGATAATGTTAATAAGGATATGTTGTAATAACTTAAGTAAATAAATGCCATCATATAAATTTGATCTAATCCTTTGTTTTAAAAGAATAAATCATTTTTGAATGGACATTTTACACTCTTTTTTTAAAGACTTATTACTCCAACTTTCCATAAAAAATGAACAGCTTATGGATCACCTACAGTATCACATCTCTCAGTGAACGTTACTCAGTGAATGTGTCTCCTCAGTTCACTGATCACTGGGAGGATCTAGAGGTGTGACCAGCAGAGATGTCACTTCCTCTGAGGAGTGACAAACAAACACAAACAAAGACCAGTTTATCTTTTCCTTCCCTTCATTCTTGCTTCTTTTCTTAGCTGTCACAGAAATAGCAGCAGTCAGGTTGGAGCTCGTTCAGCCCGACCTGTACAGCTGCTCTCACACACAGAGAGAGATGGAGGCTGAGATATGGAGAAGCTGGGTGGGGGAAGGGGAGAGGAGCGAGAGAAAGAGACTTCAGGTTTTTGTATGACGGTTTTTCATCGTGGGGACAGGGAGCCACGGTGATACAAACCCTTAAAGCCGCTGTACAAAAACCTCCTGCCATTAACTCCCATTGTGTAGACTGCTACATGCTACCTGAGACACTTGTTAGAGCAGAAAAATCAATAATCTGAGAGTGTGCAGGATGGCACGACACTCTGACATCGAAAAGTCAATGTATATGTAGGAAATCTGCAGGAAAAAAGTTTTTAAAATGTATTCTAGTTGGTATGGAGCAGTTGGATACTTCTTTTACTGAACTTGACAAAGAACAAAACAACTCTGGACATTATGAAGCTTATCCTGCATGTTTAAAGCTTCTTCATTCATCTGGATTATTAGATTTTGTCTCAATATGATGATTATAGAAAGTTTTGTGACTTTTTGGTGGAGGAGACATTCAGTGTGACACTGGAGCTGAAGCTTACTTTGGAAAAGGAACAAAACTCACTGTTTTGGGTAAGTAGAAGCTTTTGTAACTTCAGTTCACTGCAACAAACTTAAAATAGTTGAAATGTTGGTATGAAAGTGAAGGAAAATAGTTGTTATGAAAAAGCTGAAATATTGAACTGAAGTTGAAACACTGTGACCTACAATGAGCCTGCTTACTTTGGCCAAGGAACCAAGCTGACAGTTTTAGGTAAATATTTAAATTTATTACTGTATTTTGACAAATGTCACATTGCTTTCGAGTACTTGTATTAACAGAAGTATTAGTTAAAACTGTCCAAAGATCATTCTGGTAAAGAAAGACACAGGAGTTTCATGCTCAGTATTTCTGCACTGTGACAATGCAAACGAAGCTTACTTTGGAAAAGGAACAAAACTCACTGTTTTGGGTAAGTCAGAGCTTTTGTAACTTCAGTTCACTGCAACAAACTTAAAATAGTTGAAAGGTTGGTTTGAAAGTGAAGGAAAATAGCTGTTATGAAAAAGCTGAAATATTGAGCTGAAGTTGAAACACTGTGACCCAGAGTCAGCCTGCTTACTTTGGCCAAGGAACCAAACTGACGGTTTTAGGTAAATATTTCACTTTATTACTATATTTTGATAGATGTCACATTGCTTTATAGTTTTAGTATAAACAGACATATTTGTAGAAAACTGTCCATAGATCATTCTGCTAAAGAAAGACAGGAGTTTCATGCTCAGTATTTCTGCACTGTGACTCTGGAACTGAAGCTTATTTTGGAAAAGGAACAAAACTCACTGTTTTGGGTAAGTCAGAGCTCTTGAAACTTTAGTTCACTGCAACAAACTTAAAATAGTTGAAACATTGGTATGAAGTGGAGGAAAAAACTGTTGTCATGAAAAAGCTGACTTATTGAGCTGAAGTTGAAACACTGTGACCTACACTGATCCTGCTTACTTTGGCCAAGGAACCAAACTGACAGTTTTAGGTAAATATTTAAATTTATTACTGTATTTTGACAGATGTCACATTGCTTTAGAGTTCTAGTATAAACAGTATTTGTAAAAAACTTTCCAAGGATAAATCTGGTTGAGAAGGTTTTTTGCTCAGTAATTCTGCACTGTGACAATGCCGAAGCTTACTTTGGAAAAGGAACAAAACTGACTGTTTTAGGTAAGTCGAAGCTCCTTTTGAAACTTCAGTTCACTGCAACAAACTTAAAATAGTCAAAACATTGGCCTGAAAGTGGAGGAAAATAGCTGTTATAAAAAAGCTGAATTATTGAGCTGACGTAAAAACACTGTGAGCAACAATTATCCTGCTTACTTTGGCCAAGGAACCAAACTGACAGTTTTAGGTAAATATTTCACTTTATTACTATATTTTGACAGATGTCACATTGCTTTAGAGTACTAATAGAAACAGAAGTATTAGTTAAAACTGTCCAAAGATCATTCTGGTAAAGAAAGACAGGGGTTTCATGCTCAGTATTTCTGCACTGTGACTCTGGAAATGAAGCTTACTTTGGAAAAGGAACAAAACTGACTGTTTTAGGTAAGTCCAGGAAGATTAAAATTGAACAAGTACAATAAGCTTTGTAATTGGAGTAGTGCACTAAGAATCATAATGTTCTTGGGTCTTCATAGTTTAAGTTCAGCTCAGTGCTTTTTGATATTAAGCTAAAGCGCTGTGCCAATTACGAAGCCTATTTCGGGCAGGGAACAAAACTGACTGTTCTTGGTAAGTAAAACATTAAACTTTCTTCTAATTAATTCAACTGTAAGAGAAGTAAAACACAGACAAGCAGGTTAGTTGTTGAGGGAAACAGGTTTTGTGTTACATTAAACTTGTAAAATCCAGACTGCAGTGCAGCAAATGTTGGTGTTGGATTTAGAGAAAAATTTGATTTAATACAATAAAGTAAATATAAAAGCAATCAAAAAGTTAAGAAAAGTAAAAGCAGTATGTTGGGCTGTTTTGAGCACTGATTAAGTGCACTGTGACTCTGGTGTTGGAGAAGCTTACTTCGGTGGAGGAACAAAGTTAACTGTTTTAGGTAAGAAGTCAAACACATTTTTAAAAGCATTGCAATTGTAGTGTATACTAGTCTTTATTTAAGAAACTTACTGCACTCAAGTCCAGTTAAAGTTCAGCTCAGAGGTTTTTGTTCTTAAGATTAAATGCTGTGTCAGTACGAAGCTTACTTCGGGCAGGGAACAAAACTGACTGTTCTTGGTGAGTAAAACATCAAACTTTCTTCTGATTAATTCAACCGTAAGATAAGTAAAACACAGACAATTAGGTTAGTTGTTGAAGGAAATAGTTTTGTGTTACATTAAACTTGTAAAATCCAGTCTGTTGGAGTTGGAAATGTTGGTGTCGGATTGAGAGAAAAGTGAGATTTAATACAATAAAAACTTAAAAGCAACCAAAAAGTAAAGCAGCAGAGTAAAAGCAGCATGTTGGGCTGTTTTAAGCATTGATCAAGTGCACTGTGACACTGGTGCTTCAGAAGCTTACTTCGGTGGAGGAACAAAGTTAACAGTTTTAGGTAAGAAATCCAGTCTGATGTCCAGTTAAAATTAAGCTCAGAGGTTTTTGTTCTTAAGATTAAACGCTGTGTCAGAGAGAAGCTTATTTCGGCCAAGGCACCAAACTGACTGTTCTTGGTAAGTTGACATAAAGCCAAATCACTGTAGTAACTGAGAGGTTTGTATTGCATACAACTTGTAAAAAACAGGCTGTAGTTTTTGGTTTTAAAGGAAAGTTACATTTATTGAAAAGTTTGAAACTAAATCAGCAGAGTAAAAGCAGCATGTTGGGCTGTTTTGAGCACTGATCAAGTGCACTGTGACTCTGGTGCTGGTTCAGAGGCTTACTTTGGTGGAGGAACAAAGTTAACTGTTTTAGGTAAGAAATCAAACACATTTTAAAAAGCATTGTTATTACAGTCTATTTAAGAAATGTATTGCCTTCAAGTCCAGTTAATTTGCTCAGAGTTAGGTAGTTCAGAGGTTTTTGCTCCTAAGATTAAATGCTGTGTCAGAACGAAGCTTATTTCGGCCAAGGCACCAAACTGACTGTTCTTGGTAAGTTAAAAAAAAGACAATCACTGTGGTAACTAAAAGTTTGTATTGCATAGAACTTGTGAAAAACAGACTGTAGTTTTTGATTTTAAATGAAAGTTCCATTTATTCAAAAGCTAGAAACTAAATCAGCAGAGTAAAAGCAGCATGTTGGGCTGTTTTGAGCACTGATCAAGTGCACTGTGACTCTGGTGGTGCTTCAGAGGCTTACTTTGGTGGAGGAACAAAGTTAACTGTTTTAGGTAAGAAATCAAACACATTTTAAAAAACATTGTAATTACAGTCTATTTAAGGAATGTATGGCCTTCAAGTCCAGTTAATTTGCTCAGAGTTAGGTAGTTCAGAGGTTTTTGTTCCTAAGATTAAACGCTGTGTCAGAACGAAGCTTATTTCGGGCAAGGCACCAAACTGACTGTTCTTGGTAAGTAATAATAAATAAAGACCATCACTGTGGTAACTAAGAGGTTTGTACTGCATACGACTTGTAAAGAACAGGCTGTAGTTTTTGGTTTGAGAGGACAGTTACATTTATTGAAGAACTAGAAACTAAAGCAGCAGAGTAAAAGCATGTTGGGGCTGTTTTGAGCACTGATCAAGTGCACTGTGCCACTGGTGGTTTTGAAGCTTTCTTCGGTGGAGGAACAAAGTTAACAGTTTTAGGTAAGAAATCAAACAACAGTGTTCATTGTAATTACAGTCTGTTTAAGAAACCTACTGCAGTCAAGTCCAGTTAAAGTTAAGCTCAGAGGATTTTGGTCTTAAGATGAAACGCTGTGTCTGAACGAATCTTATTTCGGCCAAGGCACCAAACTGACTGTTCTTTGTAAGTTAAAATAAAGACAATCACTGTGGTAACTAAGAGGTTTGTACTGCACATAACTTTCTGTAGTTTTGGGTTTGAGAGGGCAGTTACATTTATTGAAAAGTTAGAAACTAAAAGCAGTAGAGTAAAAGCAGCATGTTGGGGATGTTAAGAGCACTGATCAAGTGCACTGTGCCTCTGGTAGTTATGAAGCTTACTTCGGTGGAGGAACAAAGTTGACTGTTTTAGGTAAGAAATCGAACAAATTTTAAAAAGCATTGCAATTATATTGTTCATTTAAGAAATCTACTGCAGTCAAGTCCAGTTAAAGTTCAGCTCAGAGGTTTTTGTTCTTAAGCTTAAACACTGTGTCGGGAAGAAGCTTATTTCGGCCAAGGCACCAAACTGACTGTTCTTGGTAAGTTAAAATAAAGACAATGCACTGTGGTAACTGAGAGGTTTGTACTGCATACAACTTGTAAAAAACAGGCTTTAGTTTTTGGTTTCAAAGAAAAGTTACATTTATTGAAAAGTTAGAAACTAAAGCACACAGAGTAAAAGCAAGTTAGGCTGTTTTGAGCACTGATCAAGTGCACTGTGCCTTTGGTGGTTCTTCAGAAGCTCACTTTGGTGGAGGAACAAAGTTAACTGTTTTGGGTAAGAAATATGTTTTAAGTGCTTTAAATATTGTTCAGGTATGACTTGGTTAAGATGTTTTTGATACTGTTAAGATACTTTAAAGCTTAAACGACTCCTAACCACCAACGTTTTATCCATTACTAGATAAAATAACCAGAGATAGATGTTTAAATGGTAAAAACAAGTCCAGGAGGATTTGACTATTTTGTAAACTGTAAGTTAAAGTCTTTACATGTCACAAAGCTGGAATAATTCCAAAGAGGCTCAGATAAAGAGAGGCAGTGGGAAGAGGTTTTGTTACAGTTGAGAGTCTCTGTGCTCGAACAGGGAAGCTTACTTTGGAGCTGGAACTAAACTCACCGTTTTAGGTAAGAAAACCTACAACAGAAAATCTCACAGAGCATGATTTACAGCTTGTTTGCAGTGTGTCAGTAAGAAAAAATTATCCTGTAGTAAAAATATGTACTTTAGACTTATAAACTTGTAGACTTTTTATTTGATGCTGAGAAGTATTCTCTTTAAAAATGGTGCAAAAGAAGTTATGGTGGAAGTTTGTGTTGAAAGAAGCAAATGTCGTTCTCCAGTAAGAGTAGAGCAGCAGTAAAACACTTGGCTCTAAGCCCAGATTACTACCCTCACAGCCAGTTCTTATCAGCTCTATGAAACACTGTGAGTTCACAGTCAGAAGCTTACTTTGGAGCTGGAACCAAACTCACCGTTTTAGGTAAGTTTATTACAAAAAACTTAACATAAACTAATCTAACTTTCCGTTATATAACAGCAAACTACCAGGTTAGAGTTGAGGGTTATTTTGGATCTCATGCTCTTAAATGCATCTAAAATCAAAAGTTGAATGCTGTTAGAAACTAATTTAATTTGGCGTGAGTATGTCTCCTTTCTAACATTTTGTGTTCATAAATGTTTTTAATTAATTTGAAAAAAGAGCACAAAGAGAGTTTACAGCGTTCAGTGCTTAAAGGTTGAGCAGTTTTTCTGTAGCCTTATATCAGTGTGAACAACTACGACCCTGCTTACTTTGGCAGTGGCACCAAACTGACTGTGCTGGGTAAGAAAATGATAAAAAATTATCCACATTACTGTTTGTTCTGTGCCCTTCTCTGCGCTTAAATCTGGGAATTATTGTTGAGTTAAGTTAAAAAAAAAAAAAAAAACTGTTCTTTGTTTAGTGATTTCCTGGAGCAGCGATGTTGTTGCTGTGTAGGTTTGTAGTCAGGACTCCAAAATAAAATGTATGAATTTAGATAAATCTCTCTCTCTTCTATGGCACAAAAGGGCTGTTTGGTGTCTGACTTGATATAACTTAAAACAAGCATTCAGAGGATGTCTGTGATAACATTTTTCGTTCAGTATTTCTTTCCTTGTACAAAATGAGGCAAAAAGGGACAATCTAAATTACATTAATGAGTCTAAAAAAGGGAGGCATGTAATATGGTGATTGTAGTTTATATGTACCTGTTTGTGAAAAAACAGACAAATGCAGTGAACAAATAAATTAGACGTTAATCCAGCAGTTGTAGATCTTTGTCAGTTTTATACATGTGCGGCAGTGGTGTGCTCAGACAGTTATCCTGCTGAATTTGGAGAGGGAACCAGGCTAACAGTTCTTGGTAAGATCACCAAACATTTATCTGAAGAAAGTGAATCTGAATGACTCTTTGTGTGTGCAGCCTGTAATGATCGTGTTTAAATTGTGTTTATCTTCAGTGTGAAAAAGTTCTGCTGTGTCTTTTTGTAACCTGATTTACATGTTTTGTTCTGTATTAAGACGTCCCATGTGCATCATTAGAGTTAGATGTTGTACATTGGTTTGCTGTAGATTTATATTTTATGTCCTTTGTCCTTGCAGAAAAAGACAAAGAGATTACCGGACCATCAGTGAAAGTGCTTCAACCTTCGCCAAAGGAGTGCAAAAATGAAAAAGACAAACAAAGGAAGAAGACCTTGGTTTGTGTGGCCAAAGACTTCTACCCAGACCATGTCAGTGTATCCTGGGAGATCAATGGGCAAAATGTCACTAATGGTGTGGCGACGGACGAAGCTGCCCAGCTGATGCCGGAAAAGAAGTTTTACCAAATCACCAGCAGGTTGAGGGTACCTGCCAAAGACTGGGAAAACTCAGATAATGAATTCAAGTGCATTGTCAATTTCTTCAATAAAACCCATACTGTCCCTTACACAGATTCAATCTATGGTGAAGGTATGTCAATTTGGAACTCAGAAATGATATAAACCTGATCTTTTTCCTATTGGAAATACGTGTAATTGATCTTCTGTCCTTGTCTAATCCATTTCTCAGCTGTGACAACAACAAATGTCATGACAAGAGGTAAATATATTATTTTGTAGTTTTGTACACCTCAACGATTCAATTCTAATAATACAGCCTAAGAAATGCACTCATGGTAGTATTTATGAGGCTATATAAGCTATCACTCATCTGAATGTTTGAACTTTCTGCAGAGAAATATGTGAAGATCACACAGGCTGCCAAACTCACATACAGTGTTTTCATCGCCAAGAGCTGCATCTACGGGGCCTTTGTGGTGTTTCTGGTGTGGAAGCTTCAGGTTTGTTCTACGCAATGTAGCATGTGACATAAAAACAGGTTTTATACACTTTAATACGTGAATGAACATCACATATGACACTGTGTCCTTTGTGTCTGCTGCAGGGTTCAAAGGGAAAGCAGAACTACTGAGAGCTGAGGCCAAATCTATTCTAGGAGATCTAGAAGAAGATGTTGGTTTCTGTAAATAAAGGCTGAAAACTTTTCACAACTTTGTATATTGAAGTGCATTTGCATTTATTACTCAATTACATAATCTAATTCTGCTAAAATAGATGAACAGTTCTAAACATATTATTTTTTTAATCTCAAAGCTGCTTTGGCATTACATTTGATAAATACTTAGAATAATAATCCTGTGTTTGTAAAGCGCTTGTTTGCTTAATATTCATCTAAATAAAAACTTTTCAGAGGATGTCATCAATTGTGTGCTTTCATTTCTCTATATAGGTTTGTCCTGATTGACTTACTGAGTATTTTATGATTCTCCAGACAGTAAAACTTTATTCTTACATTCAGTGTGTATCTAAACCAGCAAAAGGGCATGGGTTAGTCTTTTCACAATGGGGGATTTAAAGAAAGAATTAGACCGGTAAATTACATTAGTCAGTTGCTCTAAACTGTTACCAACAGTACTGATAACATATATGCACTAACATCTTCCATGAGGTATTTTTAGCTGCTCACTTATCTGCCGGTTTTTTGAGAAAAGCAGCTATTTTTCACCCACATACAGTATGTTGAGACATCTCAACTTTCACAAGCAGGTTCATTTGGGTCTTAACAAGTTTTTCCAATGAGCAAACTGAGAGGTGACTAAAGTGTTTTCAGTGATGTTTGATGGATAAATTAATTTCCATCGACTAATAACTAAAACTGCATTTTAACATTCTTTTGAAGAACTCATTTGACCTTATTAACTTGGGTTCGTCATATCTAGTTTTTCCACTTTGCACAAATGAACAAATGAAAGAGTCTTATCACATTTTCTTTTAAATAAAGAAGTTATTCCTTTAGTAAATGTGAGAGTGTGAGTCTGCCACATAACAACAGGAAATCAACGTTCTCAACTGTGTACAGAAGAAGGTCAAAGCTGTCGTTGGTGAGGGAAACAAACTGGGGCTTGAAACCGTGCAGAGGAGTGGAAAGCGACAGCAGAGGAGAGGATGTGGTCACAGAGCAGCCAGCAGATCATTCTCTGTGCTCAGAAATGACGAAGGTGCAACCTTCCACTTTACCACAACCTCCGGCTCACACCTGCATCTCTGCACCAACCTCCATTTCTGTGTCAACTGAAGCTACACAATGAACATAAGTGTGTGTTATATTGTATACAACAGCTGTTTACCGTGATCTGGTGCAAACATTTGCATTAGAATTTTTTTTAGGTATTGCATGAGAATGGTAACTTTGTGCAGTCACAGAGATTAAAACACTATTGGGGAGACTTAAGAAACTATCAATAACTACTTTAAAGAGTCTGTGCAAGAGTTATATTTAACTGTAGTCCCGTCATTTTCATGTGAACAAGATAATGAACTGACTATATCTGAATCTTGGTCATTTACTAATTGCTGCTGCACAAACACTCCCTCATCTAAAGATGTGTAAGAAGAATATAAGGTAGTAATACAGGGTAGAACTATTACTCAAAGTCCTGCATTAAACATTTTACTCAAGTGAAAGTACAAAAGCATCCAAATATACTTGAATTACCCAAATTAAAAGTACTCATTATACATTATATCACTTGATTACAATTAATGATGCAACAACATCTTCATCACTTCAATGTTGCAGCTGGTTGAGGTGGAGCTAATTTTATCTTCTCAATACACTGCTACCTTGAATTCCCCCCTTATCTTATGTTATTTATAATAATACATATTTTATGATTGTATATAGTTTTTTTAATCTGAATCTGCAAAGTAACTAATGTCGTAAAATATACCTAACAGAGTAAATAATACAATATTTGAGTAGAAGTATAAAATACTAAAGGATGTACCTCAAAATTAAACTTAAGTACACTACTAGAGTAAATGTACTCAATTACTTTCTTCCTTCACCAGTCATAAAACTATAAATATATTTTTTACCAGTAAAGACCCCAGTGGGACTAAAAACCGATGAAGAGCACGTTCTTACTTTCTGCATTTGTTTCCTTTATAAACATGTTTGTGCTCACTGGAGTCACATAAACAGGAAACAATGTCTGTGAGACCACAATATGAACAGTGTGTGTTTGACATCTGTGAACTATATTTATGTCTCCTCCTGCAAACCCTGATGTTTGGATAAAAAACTGAATTTAACATTCTCTTTAAGCTCATGTGGTTATTGAAAACTCCCAGACGAAGCAGTATTTGTGCCAAACTTAACCTGCAATAACCTCAATTAAGAAACACCTCCACCATCTGTGCTAGCAGGACTATGCGCAGTACGAAATAGTACAAATTATTTATCACAAACCATATTGTAAAAGACAAAACACCCTAAAATATATCAACCATCATTCATTTTATTATTTACACCTGTGTTTTTCCTACTGTGACTAAAGTGAACTGCCACATAATGGCCTGATGTCTCTGATACAGATCACATTAGTCAAATCCTTGTGATAAATAGTTAATTTATTAAGAATTCAAGAACACTAACCACTGAATTCTTCTGATTCTTAACAGCTAGAAGATGTTTTTCCAGTAAAGCCTCAAATTTCACCTTAAACCCATCATTCATTACATGAAAAGAAAACTTTCAGTGTACTTACACAGACATAGACACATCTGTTTTATCCTCGTTTTCTATTTATGCATTTTAATCCTTTTTGTTTGTATCACTGTTTACTTTGTGTTTGTATTCATTTATACATCTTGATCTGTTTTATTTGTTATATCCTTTTCTTACTCTTAGTTTTTTATATTTTTCTAATTCTGCCTCCAGTGTTTGCTCACTGCCACTTGATGAGATGAGTATTTTAATGTAGTGTTTTATCATTCACAATAATGCATGTGTGCATGGGGGGTTGTTTGTGTGTAGTCGACTGATTTATTTATTTATTGATTGATTGATTGATTATGTACATACAAATTGTTGAAAAAAAAGCTGTATAAATAAATATTTGTAAAAATCAACAATGACCAATAACATACAATGTCTATTTACAAGTGAAATTGTTTCTGTAAATTGTAAAGAAGAATACAAAGAATATTTTAGAGACATGCAGTAGTTGCTTATGTACAATAGATGCATGTATAAATGTCTATACACAGCATACATGATTTAGGTTTGACAGTGATAATGTTGATATGTATGTGTTAAAAAACTAAAATATAATTTATCATTTTAGTGTTCAGGGTTATTTCATGGTGATTGTTTTCTGACACTACATGCAGTTGTGCAGTGGTGCCTCGAGAAGTGCATACTTAATTTTTTGAAGCAACATGTTAAAAGAGTAAATGATGATTATGACATTAATATTTGACACAGAAGAAGTGACCCCTTGTGGTACAAACTGGAACAGCAAGTCATGCAGGATTCACTCATTCAAACCACCAGGAGCTTTTTTTTTTTATCAAAATATTGTTTTTATTTTAAAATAATTACATAAAAATAAACAATGCAAAGAGAAAATACAACCCTTTATCAGTGAAATGCCAAAATATAGATTAAAAAAGAGCAGTGGTCAAAACAGCACAGAGGAGATGGTAATAATTTCACATGTGAAAGGTTTACTGGATTTAAAAACCTCAAAGTAAATCCATCATAATTCTCTAGAAAACAGAGAACACGTACAGTAGGTCCAGTGAGTAAATAACTTATGTTAAAGACGTGGCAGAGTTTGACTTTATCACATTCAAACTTTACAGGTTTACATGGTACATTTCATTTTGAGGCTCCTATTTAATGTTTCCATAATTCAGTGTTTAATGTAGCAGTGTACAAACAGACTCCCTGAACAAAGTGTTCACACTCTGCAAAACTCCCGGTTGACAGATTTAACTACAGCTACAGCAATCGGTCCCTTTTTCATGGAATTCTTGAATTGTGATTCTGCACAGCCGGGGTCAGATATGAATGTCCTTTTGGCAATTGCAGAAGTTGGATGGTTAAAAACAACTTCAATGTCTGAAACACTCCCCTCTCCCCTTTCCCCTCTCCCCTCTCCCCTCTTCCCTCTCCCCTCTCCCACCCCATCCCAGAGTTTTTAAACCCTCTGCGGCTTCAGCCTAGCCGACCAAACCTGTCGTTCTTCTGTGAATGCCGGGTACAGCTGGCACAGCAGAAACTGGAGTAGTACGAGTTAGAGCAGAGTCGGGCGTAAACTATCAGCTCGCAGTTGGCAAGATCGGGCTGGTCCACGCATTCTGGCGGCAAATCAACACCTGCAACAGCGGGGTTGAAAGACAGTCCCATTTAGTGTTTTTGTGCCTCATAAAATCAGTTCAGCACACAGAACGTTGTGTGGTGTTCTTCAAGTGAATCATAATGGCAGTTTAGTGTTGTTTGTTCACCTGCACGGCACAGATTAAGTTTTTATTTGTTGTAATGCCTGGAAATGATTTGTTTTTTTGTTCCAACATCTGTTAAAACATCAGCCTCAGAAAACTTCTAAATTGCTGCCAATTTTTCTTCTGTGATTTAAATTGTAGCAGTCAGAATAATGAAGTGAAACAAAATGGCAATTCAGATGATTATCAGACCTCGGCCTTATTTAGTACCAATTTTTGGTTCCAAACTTAGTGCTGCTGATGTCAAAATCAGACTTTAAACAGTTTTTCTCCTTTCTGATAAACCAAAGTAAGAGAAAAATGATCATAGGACGGCATCAAGGTGAATCTGCTGCAAATAAAAACATCAGGACGGCTGAGTTAGACTGTTATTCTCACCTTGTTGTGTGTCTTTAGTGACTCTAACTTCAGCCGTGGCACTCACAGAGTAGATGCCGGTGTAAGCGTTACAGGTGTAAGTGCCCTCATCTGAAGGCTTCACGTTATTCAAGATCAGGCTGCCGTCAGAAGACGTCAGGATGTTACGACCGTCTGGACGCACCGGTACACCATTCCTATAGTAAAAGAGGAGAAAGTGAAAGCCAGTTAAGGCCCTGTGAGCTTTGCGTAACTTCTTTTACTCCTGGTGTTTGATGGATGCTTTGAGTTGTCACTTAGAAATAGTATTAAATAATATTAACATATGTAGAGAAATCAAACAGAACTAAAGATAAATAACTTCTACCTCATAAAAGTCATATTTCTATATGTAAAACAACAGCATAGTGGTTGTTTTTATCTTATAATGTTATTATAAAACATTTTCTTATCGAGTAACTCCACAGAACACTATATAATTCAAGCTTTTCCTATCTAACTGATCATGTAAATGTGTATGAAGATATTTGAAATGTTATTTAAAAGACAAAGAGATAAGTTAACTTCCCATTTACTTTTTCATTTTGAAAGACAAATATCACCTGAATAAAAAACATTTAAATGTACCTGCTCTCCTTTAAAAAGTATAATTGTTTTTATTTGTGTAACTTTTACTGTTGTTAGCTGTCTAAACCAGACTCTGTACTGTAGGTGCAGTTCCTCACTGGGCTGAATATTCTTGGGTCTACTAGGATAAACACTTGAGCTTTATAATGTAGATCATTACCTGGACCAGCCTATATTGACATTGTCTCCTGACACCACACAGGGCAGCAGAGCAGTGCTGCCTTCAGACACCTGGATGTTATTGGGAGCTGTAGTGATCTTCAGGTCCGCTGGACAATAAAACCACAAAAAGGTGGTTTATTTCACCCTAAAAATACTTTTGAAAATACTTCATAAACTCACACTGAATTATTCTGAATATACCCCGGAGGAATCAAACCTCAAACACTACACTCAGATATATTGACCTCTGCTGGTGATTCGGTGAAATTACAGCACATCTGTGGCAATTATAATGAACATACAGTACTAACAAGCATGTTAACATCTGCGTGTTTAGTGTGATGGCGAAGACATGATTAAAACTCACTTTGGACTCTGAGCTGCAGCTGTCTCTGCTCCAGCTGCTGCTGAGTGGAGGCTGTGCATGTGTAAACACCAGAGTCTGTAGACTTCAGAGGGCCGACGATCAGCGTGCCGTCTGAATGTTTGATATACCTGCAACACCGCAGTATTCAGTATTCAGTATTCAGTATTCAGTATTCAGATCCTTTACTTTCAGTAGCAAGAACACATTATGAAAACACCTTAATTAAACATACAACAAAGAGTATTTTAACAGTCTCAATTTAATACTGATGCCTCTATATGACCTACAGAAACAAACAAGATCATCAAAGAAGAGTGGCTATTTCTATATAGTGCCACCAGGTGGGATTCGGTTGGATTCCCATGAATCAGATGAAACGGGACGGTCTGTTAGGTAGTTTAATCTACAGCAATACATCATATTCTCTATCATATGGTCCATATTCAGGCACACATTATTGTTCCAAGCTCACTATTTGTATGTCTTAATACACATCTGGCGGGGATCTTTAACAAGCTGCATGGATTAAAAACGGAGTGCTTTAGTAGTCCCCTGCACACTGTTACCTATGTTTGACCTTCAGTGTGCAGAATGATGTATGTGCAGAGTTTGACACAAGGATGGATGGATTCCATCTGCTGAGGGGGGGAAAGAGTCTCTGTGCTCAATTTAAAAATCTGTGTTTAACACATGTAAGATTTCTGACATCCCAACTAGTCTGCAGGTCAATCCTGGTCCAACTTAAACAAATGTGACGTGGAAACCTGAAGCCAGCAGTGCCACACACACACACACACACACACACACACACACACACACACACTGAGAATGGACTTTACAGTGAAGCAGGAGACATCTTGTGCTTTTTAATAAGTAAACTAGCAAACTTTTGAAAGATCAATTACTTGCATATTTTTTTATACATTCTGAAATTCTTGATGGAGGGAGGGGGAGTAGATATAATTTCGAGAATTTTCATCTTGTTTATTGAACTATTGCACTTAATTGACAGAGGATCTTTAAGGATTATAACTGCATCTAAAATCTGATTTACTGTTGAAGTGTTATTACTCTGTTATTATAATTAACTTTTTGTCATTTAATTGAAGCCCGACCAGAGTTATTTAAGGTTTGTGTTTATATATTACAAGTTAATTGTAATTTTTCTGGTTACAAGATAATTTTGCCAAATAAAATACCTTGCACACCACAAAAAAACACTTTTGCTTTTCTCTGGACTTCACAATCAGATATACTGAACATAAAGAAAGCAGAGCATTTTGACAATTACCTGGAGTTACTGAGGGTCTGTCCATCTTTAGTCCACTGAATATTGACAGACTGAGCCGCTGACGGAGGGACAATCTGGCAGGGAAGTCTGGCAGTTTGTCCTGATCGCATTTCCAGCAAAGAGGAGCTTGATCGCTCAATACTGAACCTGATAGTTACAGGAACAGAGAGCTGATGTCAGTGATTGTTTCATCCATTTACACCTTCACACAGGTTTGTCAACTCCTTCAGGTGTTTTGCATTTATAATCTTCAATTTCTCTTATATTGTATGGAAGAGACCATTTTCAGTGAGTTGTTCTTACCGGGGGAAAGGTCCATCTCTGGGCAATGAGGTGGGAGTCAGTGGAGACGATCCCTCTGTGAGACACACACACACACGCGATTGGATGAATGCTCCTGTCATAACTCACTCACACAATGTCACATTAACATATCATGCCTAACTGTTTCAAGGTCAGCATGTTCTGATACAACCTCTGACATCATATATGACATCAGGTCCTTACCCCGATCTCCTGGATTTACGTGTGACGGACTAATTGGGGTTGAAGTCGGTCAAATCCGAATTAAAATTAAGGATTTGACCGAATCTGGCCCCAATTAGCCGATTTCACATCGGGTGAAAGTTTTTTCTCAAAAGCTTTCTTAGAGAGGAAAGATATACAATGTGGAGTTTACCGGGAACTCTACACTCTTCTATCTTATGTTCATATCAGTGCATCAGTGTTTGGAATTTGTAGACTGAAATGAAAAAATTCTGTTATCAGTTTTGCCGATATTTTGGCAAGAAAAAACAATAAAAATCTTGCCCTGATGGTGGCGCTAGAAGAAAAGTCAAGGGATCACCAAAGTATTAGTTCATCCTCTGGGTACCCTGAATATCTGTACCAAATTTCATGGCAATCCATCCCGTAGTTTATTCGATATTTAAATATTACCCACCAATATCAACCTCATGGTGACTCTAGTGGAAAAGTCAGTAGGATTCATCCTCTGGGGACCATGAATGTCTGTACAAAACTTTAAAATTATCCTTTTTTTTGCAATATTGGATTAAAGTTGTGGTCCAACTGACAGACAGACCGACATTGTCAACCCTATATAGCCACACTGCTAACATGGCTAAAAAATCCAACAATAATTTAAAAGGAAAAAGTAATTAAATCATCAAAATTAGGAAATAACAGCAGCTGCATTACCTGTGACAGACAGATAAATGTAGCGGTGGTCTCTCTCCTGTTCACGAGTAGCCAGGCACAAAAACCAACCAGAGTCTGACTTAGTGAGAGGACCGACCAGCAGGGAGCCATTTGGCTGCTGGTGATGCCTAAAGAAAACACAAGTAAAGAGGTAGAGAATAATCACAAACATTGACAGAAAGCAAAATTTGATCTGTATTAAGTCACTGTGTGTGAGTGCGTGTGCTTCCACTGACCTGTGAGTAGACAGAGGGATGCCATCTCTTCTCCACTCCACAGTGACAGTGGAGGACGGCGGCGGGCTGACTCTGCACGGCATCACAACTGTCTGGCCCACTAAAGCTTCCACTGTAGAGGGGTCAGTCTTATCGATGGTCACTCCTCCCAGCGTCAAACTGAGGACACAGGAGGGGATACGAGGATAGAAGAAAGGAAGGAAAGGAAGGAAAGAAGGAAGGAGGATCAGGAGAAAGTTGGAAAACAAAGAAAGAGAAGATTAAAGGGAGGAAGAGAGTGAAAGAGTCACTTTATGCTCTACTGTTGGTACTTTTATTAGTAGTCACCAAAGCAAGCATAAAGGTTGCCCACAACCTGGCTTCAGAAGTTTATCAGAGACAGCTCAGGGGAGAAAAAGAAAAAGAAACCCAGCTTTGGCACACAAATGGCCCATGCAACATGAAAGGTGACGAGACAAACAATGAAAACCTTCACCCACAAAACAACTAATTCTGTGTGTTATAAATTGTTAAAGATCAAAGGTGATGATGATGATGATGATGATGATGATGACACACAAACACCAGAAAAAAAACCCAGCAAAGACGTTGACTAGCAATGTCCCCCCCTAAGCCTATAATGTAGCTAAATACACACAACTACACAAATGTAAAGACACACGAGGTTTAGTGACTACACACGTACAACGACAGATGAAGCATCACAGCAGAACCTTTATTAGTTGGATCTAATGACATCAAGGTGACAACACAAAGCCCAAAGGTGGTGGCGACTGACACGGTGAGGTAGCAGGCACAAATAAGCACAACAGACAGTGAAAAGTCCCAGAAGCATTAAACAGTAGGAGCTGTCCATTTACGGTCGCTGTGAGGTTCAACTTCTCCAGACATTTTGTCGAGGTTAAAGGGGGAAACAAGGTGTTGCTGCTTAGGAAAGCGTGAGAGTCTGTGGAGCTAGACGTACAGTAGCGTAGCTGTGGTGTATTTTACAAAGCGAGTGTTTAGATTATATTAGCATCACAAGAATGATACACACTGTAAAAAGCATGTTGCATAAAATAAAGAATACATGAAATATTCTGTTGTACAGACAAGAATAAATGGGAGTGGTTGCTTGACATAATGTCTTTAAAGAGTAACTTAACACCAGGCTGTTATACTGCTCTCTTTGTTACAGGTTACAGCTACCACACCCAACAGTGATGTCATGATGTACTGACACACCCCGAAGTACACTCCTACATCACTGCAGCAGTTGAGAAGCAGATATTTTCTGGAGGTGTTAAGTTACTCTTTAATTAGCTAAAAGCTTGGAAAATAAGCCAAGATTGATTACTTATTTAGCCTTTGAATTGATTTCTCTTCTGTCTTACAATTACAGATGTTTCATTAGTAATTAATCAGTGTTTCAGATTGTCAGTCAGTCAGATTGTGTGAACTGGTGTCTTAATGTTTTGACTTTTTGTTGTATTATTTAAAATTCTGGAACTAGTCTCTATATATATTTGTCCTGTAGGACTTTGTAGGACCATACACGGTCTGAATATTTGTACACAATGATAAACAACTTTAACATCAACTTCATTGTCATATTTTGGGGGGGAGTGAATGATGCACATGATTTGTCTGTCAATCTCCTTCAGACTCTTTAGCCCTACATTGGGGCTCCTTCACCAGGGGTAAGAAGGCTGTTAACAGCATTATGAGGCCAGCCGAGGTGGGGCTGGGGCAGGGAGTGAGCTTTTCGTCGTGCTCCCTGGGTCCTCGGGGTCTTACCTCGCTGCTGGGCCGGTGTGCTGTGCAGCAGTAGCAGGGGAAGGCCGGCGGGGCCGCAGATGGACTCTAGCTCTGTGGGCATGTGTGGCCGCACTCGTGGCCTGTCTGCTGGTGCCGCTGGTGGAACCTCCTTGGACTGTGAAAATCCTCCCCATGTTGCGTGACCCTCCACCTGTTGACCCTCCAGAGGTGGATCCCCCTGCTCTAGCTCCTCCTCCAGATGCGGTGCCTGCTCCTGATGCGGTCCTTCCAGCTGTGGGTTCTCTCCTAGGAGTCGGCCCTCCGGCGGGAGCGACCGATCCCGGGCCCTGCTGGCTCGGGGCAGCAACCTGGCACGCCCTCTGGCACTCGGCCCGGTTCATGAAGTTGTTGCTGTTGCCGTGGCAACCTCCGTACCAGAAGTGCACACACCTGGAGGTGATGACATCATAGTGGTAGCGTGGTGTCCAGCTGCTGCAGGAGCCGGCAGCACGAGGCAGGGAGCAGATGGAGCGCTCAACTGCAACAAGGAAACAGAACAGGAAATGTTACAGACACACAGGCTGTACGTCAACATATTTTGTTGAGTTGTGTGTCTTATATTATCCCAAATGTTTCCAACAATGTTTAAATCCAGGGTCATTTTTTCAGGTAATGGTGCGTTTCACCAGTCGCCCGTCAATGTTATCATATCCGTCTGCGTTGTGGCTGTCTGCCAGAAGCTGTCATGAACTTTTCATCCAGTTTTAAGCCACATTTTTATGATACACATGTTTAGATATTGGTTGTTTTTACCCCGGAGGAAGCTGATGAAAATTACAGTTACTGGACATCTGGATCGTAGATTTCAGAGAGACAGGCTGAGCTAACGTTAGCAGCAGGTCATCTTGCAGCCCCTCCTTTGTCTGCCAAACAGTGTCGGAGGGACACTGATTTTTAAGGTAAAACTGCTTTATTCAGAGTTTTTAAATCACTGGGTCGGTTTGTTTTAGAGAAGAGGAGACCTCTGCACATAATTCAGTTCCTGGGGAAAAAAACACCTGAACAGTGAACACTGAAGGAAAAAGCTAGCAAGGAGACCTTGAATTCTCACTCTGTGTATCCAAGCATTGAAAACTTCCTCATTAAGCTTTGAACAAATAGAAACTGGATCTAAGCCCATGACCTGACTCTAAACAGCTATCTAGTGCCACATCTTTGATTATAATCAACTAAGTTTCCTTGGCATGGCCAAGACTACAACCCAACCCAAATTTGGGGCAGGAAAAGTGTTGAAATTGTATATTTTCTCCTGCTTACACCATTTCCTGTGAGCACAGACCTCAATCACTGGCAATGGAGCGTAACGGTGGCCAACCAAAAAAAGACTGGACAGATGCACATGGGAATTATTGTTCTCAGGATGAATTGTGACCAAGAAGTCACTTCAAAAACAGGAGGTTTAAAGAACAAAGAACCTGAGATTCATGTGTAATAACATATTTGTAACCTCTCAGTCTCTTACTGTGGTTGGGTGGGTTGGGGCAGCTCTCCCCGTTGGGTCCTCCTGCAGGTGTGGTGCGGTCGTAACAGCAGCCGTAGGTGGTGGTACGGCACTGTACTGCATTCTCAGTGGGAAGAGAAGGAACCTGAGCAAACATGATATGACAGATCAGAATTATAGCTGTTTTATACGGTCTCTTTCTGGGCAGACGATACATAAGCAAACATCGTTTTTATGGTCAAACTGGTCAGTACATTCTCACCACAGTAGAAGAGTTTTTCCTAGTCACAAAACGTGTGAAAGAAATTAATAATTTCATGTATGTTTGCTTACAGTGGGTGCAAGGGCCACATACTCCACACAGCCCTCCTTATTGGGGCCCTGAGCAGCCGTCACTCCATCTTGGCAGCAGCCATAACTGACACACAGAACAAGAACAGAGAAAGTACAAACAATAAAACACTTTGTACTGAAAGTTTGCGCCAAAAATAACAGAAATGTGCAAATTTGACATTTCTAAGAAAACCATAGCCTCAGTGAGGTCACTGAGTGGTAGTTATGGTGGTCATGCATAATGCCAAACAATCTCTGGTTAGAGCGGTCACACAGCTATAAAAGTGACAGCCAGACAAAGGCTCCTAAAAAGACTCCATACGTAACCTCAACCACAGTGTAATGACAGGTTGGAGCTGGATACCTGGTCTGAATGCAGGATGGCTGGGAAGCAGTGGGAGCTTGGATCTGTGGGCAGCCCAGACCCTGGGGGCCCCCGGCTGAAGTGCGTCCATCTGGGCAGCAGCCATAATAGGACTGGCTGCAGTGGAGGGCCAGGACAGAGCTGTGAGGGTCATGGACTGTGTTCGTCTGGGTCGGATCCGTGTCTGGCCTGCGAACTAAGATGAAACCAAGCAATGGGAGAATTCACACATGTGGACTAGACCCCACAGTTCATGGTGTTTTAAACAGACAAGACTACACAAAGCGACAGAGAAGCTCACACATTGCTTTAGAAATTCACAATAGAGTCTAAGCTATTGTGCTTGAGGCCACACAGGAAGCTGAAACACAAAAGAATGCAAATACGGAAAGAACTGCTACAAAACAAATAGAATTAACCAATAAAACATTACCAAGCTACAAAGCTTGGGGGGGGAGGACGTGGAGAATAAATTGGGACATGTAGTTCTTGCAATCAGAATAAACAATCTCACAGGAAATGAACACACACAAGACCTCAAACTTGAAATTCCTGACAACTGGGACGACGCTGCAGAATGCCAGAACATGCCAAAAAACACCACCGCCAGCACTTGCACACTTCAGTGCTTCCAAAATATTTTAATCAGGCTGAGAGTGCCCATGGACCCCTGAAAACATGTCAATCAGGCCTGGATAATTAGTGCTGGGACAGGGGCTCGATGGGGAAAAGGAGGGGCTGATGGGCACAAAGTGACAGGAGTTATATCAGCGGAGGGGAGGGGTGCCGGGGAACTGAGGGGAAGCAATTATTAGGGTGCCATCACACCTACAGTTTGTTTTCTTTGGTACAAATAATGGGAAAGGTTATAAATGTGAATATCTTGTTAATAACTAGATTTTTGGTCTGAAATGATGAATAGTTAATTTCTTTGTCTTTTTGTCAAGCAAGCAAAGAAAGACAAACAGCTAGCTACAAAGAACTGGCAAACATGAGCTAGTAAAATACACAAAGAGCTGACAAAAAATGACAAAGTGCTCGCAAAGAAAGTTACAAATGGAAAAAAATGAAATTATAAACCACCATGAATTCGTGGTGCACAAATCAACTATAAGTTGATGCATCTTAAACATAAAAACATTTTTCGTGTGTTTTGAGGCCACCGTAGTTGCTCCTACACGCTTTGAAGGATGAGCTGTGTTCAGTTGGCTGCAATCTGAAACTTCACCACTAGAGGCCATTGAATCCAACACACACTGGTCCTTTAAGTTTGATAAGATATAGTATTATATCTATTATATAGTATTATACTGTATATAATAATCTTTGTTAATATCCGTTAACAGAAATTCCCCAACATGCACCTCAGTCAGATTGTTTTTGCTCAGTGGTTTATTTCATTATTCTTGACTTTCTGAGTAACTAATAGTAGCTAAAATGGTATATCTATATCTTGTATACAAAACATTTTGTCTGTGAACACATCCTCAGTTTTGTAGACAAATTGATGACACTGTGGCCAGGAGAAGACATTAATCATCAGATTGAGATAGTCAAACCTGTTGCGTGGTCTGGCACATAGGGCTGGAAAACAGTCTGCGTGTTGTCGTGTCCTTGTGGGTCCTGAGTGCTGGGAACCACTGCGCAAAGAGCAGGAGGCACAAACAAAACAATGAGAGCTCAGTGCACAATGTAGGTGAGCGGTGGAATTATCTTGCTAAAGGCTGACAACGAAGGCACTACACTAAACTGTATGAAAGCTATGCAAATAAAGTTTGATTGATGGATTTTGCATATGCTCACATTGTGGGCTGTAGCAGGGCTGGCTGTTGCAGCGCTCTACTGTGGTGGGTTTGGCTTGGGCGTTACATTGATCCACAGGGTACAGGTTCCTCTCTTGGTCTGAGCAGATCACTCGTCTATCTCTCGAGCCGGAGCCACAGCTCTTAGAGCACTGGAGGAAAGTGGAGATTATAATGAATGAAAACTGTCTAGCTGAAGGGAAATTAATGGTGTAACTGTCCCTGTATTGTTTGTGTTTTCGCTGTTCTCACCAGTCCCCACTCTCCGACGTGCCAGTCGATCTGTTTCAGGCAGGCCGCCATCTCACAGGGTCGGACTGCAGGCGGGCGGAGCAAAGTGCTGCAGGATGTTTCCTCTAGCCTCATTCCTCCTGAACCAACACAGGTGATTTCTCTGGTCTGTTCACCTGGACCACACGTCACCGAGCACTGCCAACACAGCGGCACAGATTTTATAAGACAGATTCAAGCGTACGTGTCGTATGCTTGAATGCTTGAGGCCTTAAAGTTATTTTTCTGTGATATAATTTTCAGTAGAAAAAAGTGTAAGAAAAGGTGAGGAAAATCGTATTCGAGCTTAATTTAAAACAATAATATCAGACAAATGAAGACAAATCTGGATGAAAATCTGCAGCTTGTGTTTCTCAAGAGTCTGTAATTCTACCCAGTACACTCAAATACATCCCAACTGTGCTTTAGGCTTATAGGACTTTTCTTAGCAGCGGTTTGGGATTCTCATGTAATCTCGGTTTTACATCTAAAACTTTGAGTCACAGCACTAAGCATCTATTCTTCCTCATATAAGTACAAGATAAACTTTGAAAACCTCCTGAACAATTAACACCTCACTGCTGTTTTGAAGACATTTCCAAAGACTCTTGTTTTCAGCTGAAGTGAAGGATATTCTTTCTGCTACTTAAACACACTACAAGGAGTTTTTAACTGGTTATGAAACAGAGAAGATTGGCTACTTCTAAATGGTCATTCTTAATGGCTGCCACCGGGTCGAACTTTGTCAGATTCCCCTTGAAATCAATGCAATGAGGCAGTGCTGCTTGCTTTTGTTTTGAATCAACACAAAATTAAAGGTCTTTGTAGGGGAACTATTTTACAAGATCTTTTTAAGCCAAAATAAATGAGTTTCATTGCCCTTCTTGTAAGTCCAATTTGTTGTAAGGTGTAAGGGATCTTTTTTTTCACTTAACTTCACTTTCACTTGATAGTCAGAAGATGGGACCAAGTCATTGTTTTGCAGGCCACAAGTATACATCTCAAGACTGTGCACTGTGCAACATTTTTATATTATAGTATACGTCCTAAACGTCGCGTTTCGAGTCATAAACAAGTCATAATGAGCCCTTACAACAGAACGGACAAAACTAGACCATCTTTGGTGTCATTTTTTCCAACTGGTGCCCAGTAACAAATGTGGCATACTTTTTAATATTTGGGCTTGGGGGCTTGTATTAGGATTTTCAAGTCAAAAGGCTCGAGTTAAAGAGCCAGCTGAAGTCACATACTAATAAATAAATTCAAATGTTTCTTTATTTTGCAGCAGGCTGAATATTTTTCACTCCAGTTGGATACAAGAGTCAAACAGTTACGCCAAGATAAATGTGCTAATAACTGCAGTATTGTAGTACTAAGTATAAATACAGAACAGTGCTTATTTTACACCATAATTTGATATAGCTCATTAATCTTAACTGTTTGTTTCATTTGAATCAGTTTCACCTCTCTGCGGTCACCGACAGTCTGGAAGTTCACTCACCGCGCTCCATCTAGTTGCACGATACTCTGCACACTTGTGCATGTTGCAGGTCTGCAGAGAGGGTGGTGCCTCGGTGTAGGCGGCACAGATGGCATCCTCTACCACGCGGGGGCCTGCAACATCGTGAGAGATGCACTCCACGGTGCGCACCTGAGAGCCTCCACCGCAGGTAACTGAGCAGGTGTTCCACTCACCGGTTCTCCAGCTGGGAAACCCACCGGGAGGGAGGAGAGACAGGACAGTCAGGAAAAGTTGTGATGTAGTACAGAGAAAAATGAAGAGTTTCATTCCAAAATTTAAAAAGCGATACCAAAGGGACAAGAGAGATAACAGATCAGACTCCAGAGAGTTATATTTCAATCAATTAGGTGAGTTTTCTATTGAAACCCTACTTTCTAATTTTGGCCAGGGACATGGGAACTTAACCTTGTTAAGTTAGTCAAGTAATGATATATTTCTGGTATTGTTATATTGTTACATATCATATTGTTTTATTTATTACTTAATTAACATTTATTCAGTTTATTTATCTATTTCATTTTATCTATCACTCTTTCCCAGATTGACAGACAAAAAACAAAAAAGATATTTCATTTAAAACAATTCCAAAACAGAGAAAAGCAGCAACTCCTAAAATTCGAGAACCTGGAACCAGCTAATAACCACATAATCTCTTTTTTTTCTTGACAAACAACTTTAAATGATAATTTACCACTTTAATTTACAACAGATTGATTCACTGATTAGTTTCTACAGTAACTGAATATTATCCTTCAATATTTTAATTGAAATAATGATATAATAATTGAATAATTGAAAAACAGTCTTTAGTTTGGACACATATCAGTGTTTTGGAATGAAACTCTTCAAATTAAATGCATGCATGAAAGGATGCATTGTTTTACAGCTACAAAACAAACAACTAAACAACTAGTGTTAAAAACAACGCATCTTTTGGACACTATAGCGTTAAAGAACCAAAAAGTCGCTCCCGGCTGAAAGACACAAAATATTATTAACCTCCTGGTTAGTTTAAATAGACACTGATTACTAGAAGCAGACCGAAAGCAGGTCTGAAAACAAAAACTATGACCTGCAAGCTCACATTTTATCTCCCAGATTTCTGCCCCAACTTTAGCACTGCTTTACAACTCAGAGAAATTAACCGTTTCTGATCGTCCCTGCAGTATATCTTTCAATTGAGGAATAATGAGGGTGCAGTTAGCGTCACCCGAGCTTCATAAACATCTCGGGTTTCTAAGCAGCAGCGGCATCAAAGAAAAGAAGCAGGAAATACCAGAGAGTCACTGACTGAAGCCCCGGCTCTTTACTGCCACACCACTGCTGCTGCGTCCAATTCAGATGTACACAATCCCTGACACCTCCCCCCCCCCACGCATGATGACCTCTAACCTCACGACACACCAGCTATACTAACAGACAGGCACAGAGAGTTTTACAGTTTGCTAAAGCAATCAGGCAGCAGCCCAGCTCAGGGATCGGGTACAGGGGCCACAGGTTGGGAGGTTAAAGGAAGAGGAGGTCTTTGATGGAAATCTGGCATCAAATCACCACTAGGTCTCCCCGGAGAGAGCGTTAAGTGTGTGCAAGACAAATGAGGATCATTAGAAGGTTGAAAGGAGATCTCTGAACTGGACAGTTGCCCCACGCCTTCGTTCTCACCCCTCATGGAGGAACAGGCGTCACGCTAAAACACAGATGCTAGAGTCAAACACATCTGAAGGGGGAGAGTTCTTGACAGACGTTTCAATCAACATTTATTACGTTTTTGAATCTTTTGGCACATTTTAGCAACAAGTTACTAAAGACTTTTCATGTGTCAATGTGGGGGACTACTAAAAACGATCGTCCATGCTCAGAAAAATAACAACTTAAAGGTCCAGTGTGTAACATTTAGGAGGATCTGTTGGCAGGAATGGAAGATAATATTCACAGGTATGTTTTCACTCGTGTATAATCACCTGAATATAGGAATTGTTGCATTTTTGTTATCATAAATGAGCCGTATTTTTTTATTTTTGCCAATTAGATTCTCCTACATGTTACACACTGGACCTTTAATGATTTAGATCTCCCCCTGTGTTTGTAGTCACCTAAAACTTCACTACGACCACAGATCCTGGGTTACCTGAATACATAGGCTCTGGGTCTTTCTGAGGATCTCCACAACTGTGGTGGATACAGGTACGCCATCCTTTCAGACAGTCACAACACACCAACAACAGTCAAAAAGCTGGGTTTTTTTGCACTTCAGCAAAAGGGTTCATTTTCACTCGATTCACTTATAATAGAAAAAAAATCAACTCTGGATGTTGCTGACCTTAGAAAATCCTGCCAATGTACTGTAATGTCACATTTCACTAGTGAAGTTAGTTTACCTGCGAATCTGCGGGCATTGATGGGGGTTGCATGTGCGGTTGGTCTGTGGCCTCGGCAGAGATGCACAGAGATAGTCTGGGTAGGCCTCGTTATCAATGGTGCAGAAGACCAAACGAGACTGGTAGCCTAACGAAGGAAGAGAGAATGGCATGTTTAACGGTGCAAGAGGCAGGATAATAAAGGCTTTAAACAAGTGCTTTGTCTGTATTCTGGCATTTTTCTAAGACTCTGACCTGATCCACATTCCCTGCTGCAGGCAGACCAGGATCCAAAACTCCAGTAATAGCCCTCTCTGGAGCGTCCATTAGGGAGATAAAATTCATACTCCACTCCTTGGTTTGGCTCCTGGCTGATCAGCTGAGAGGAGATGGTACATAATGATTACACTTTACAAAGATTTAGACTTAAGGCCAGGTTCCTGGTCCTTGAAGGAGAAATCTTTCTGTTTTTCCGACCCTCCGACCTTTCCTCTAACAAAATGAACAATCCTTTAACACCACTTCTATACAACTTATTTTAACTAATAGTTTACCCTGAAATGCACTCTGGATATTCATGGTCCCTAGAGGTTGAATCATTAATGCGTAAAACACATTAATCTTCCCAAAATGATGACTCCTTTGGATTTTTAATAACCCAATGACCTCTCTGTCTAGTGCCACCCTAACATGGCAATGCTCCAGTGTTTTGTATTGTGAGCTGTAACGTACATTGTATCATTTACAGGATACTAACGCAGCAGAAATTTGATCTAAATCTGCAATAACAAACTTTTGTGAATGCAACACTACAATATTATCACCTTGTAAGTTCATGTAGTAAAATGTTAGTCTGCAGTTTAAACATCCAGCAGGCACTGAGCAACAGAAGGTGCTTATGTCCATCTGCCAAATGTAAGTCCAATATTTATTATTTTTCTCTCTTTTAAAAGAGGGAGATTTGGAATTAAATATTTGTCAGACAAAGAAAATAAATAAAAGAATGAAAACTCAGTGTGCGTTCAATCTTACCTCAACAACGAGGGGTTCAGTGGTGGGTCCGCGGCCGATGATGGTTTCAGGGATGCTGTCGCCCTCGGCTCCTCGCTGGTAGTACAGCATGGTTCCAGCAATGGGTGTCGCCCTAGAAAACTCAATTACCCAGTGGCCATTGAGGTAATACTCACCACGCAGGTTCTTGATAGCTGGCAGTGCATAAAAGATACAGTCAGTGTATGTAGAGAATGCAATCAAACAAACTACTATGAAGAAACTATGTCTACCTTTTCTAAAAAACACTAACTCACCAAGGTAGTTGCGTGTGGCCACTGTTTCCCTGATGCTGATGGTGGTGGCTCCAACAGGGATGATGAACATCTGGTTGTAGCCTGAGATAAAAATTAGACAAAGCTCCTGTCACACATGCAAACAAAATGCTACAAACTCAGTGATAAAGTGGGAAATTTGCTGGTGTGACAAATGAAATGATTGAAAACATCTAGTAGTGTGTTCTCCAAGATAAAAGTGTGCAGCGTACCAGTTGGCAGGTTGCGTACAGAGAAGCTGTTCTTGACAGGGTAGCAGGACTGTCCGTTACCCCCACACTGCAGGCAGGGGTCTTCCTGCTGGGGAGACTCCAACATGTTGTCACAGCCCAGACGCTGGAGAAGGAAAAAGTAGAGAAACGTTTCATAAGCAAAAGTATGATTTGTGCCAGAGTTGCAGTGATGTTTCCTTGCAGAGATATGGAGCTGATATTGTCCTTTTTCAGTGTCACTTATGTTTCCTGCTGCAGATATCAGCGGTTCCTTGCTGGATGCAGAACTTTCTAACAGTTTGCCAAACCTTCAACCATGATTCGGTGTGTTGTGTTCTTGCATTCGTCTCCATTTGGAGTTTTACTAATATAACTCTCTGAAATGGACCATTCTGCCCAAAAACTACATTTAGGTGTTAATACTTTTTGACTTTTACTTTAGTGAAATCTTTACTTGTGTTAGTTTGTTTACAGAGTAAAAGTTTCTTCCACCTCTGCATTTACTTACCAGTGTTACCCTACTTACCCCATTTTATAGGGAGGGAGGTGACCAAGCAAGTAATATATGCACAAAAATATAATTTGCACAAAAAAAAAACAACAAGTGCTGAGTCAACACTACCACAGCAGCCCTCGAAAAGGCAGAAGTCCAATCACAGAATAGCCGGTTCAGGGGCCACACCAATATAAAGCCTGATTTAACATTTAACAAGGTGTTAGAGATGTTAAATCTGTGGGAGCACACTGTTTCTGTGAAAGTAGTAATCCTAAAACCAAGCAACAAAACCCTTCAGCTGGAGGTTAAATATGTGAACGTTTAAAAAAAGTAAAGGAACAACAATAAGGGTAAAAAATAAGACCCTGTTCTCAGAGTGGAGTTTGGGTTTTGGACAGCTGCTCCCCACAGAGAAGGTGATAAAGACACGATGACAGAGGTTAAATAGAGGAGGTGTTTCATGAGGAAAAAGTTGCAGCGATAATTACATGAGAACAGAATGAGAGCAGAAGAAGTGTTTGACATTACCACATAGTGAAACTAATCCTCTGACTGTGTCCACTCTCATTAATGAAATAACGCTGTAAACCAGCAGTTTGTGCGCTCTTAAACTCTGAGATATTTTATTCCTGTGAATTTGACTCAATGGAGGGACTAATCCTGTCATTAATAACAATACATGTAGGGGAAAGAAAACCTTGCAAATTAGGACAGAAAACAACCTTCAATGGCAATGCATGCTGGGTAAAATGCACTACTGGCTTACATTGTTAACTTACTCCTTTAGCCACAAAACAGCTGATGTCACTTTAGACAATAAAACTGCACTTTAAAGCTCCATTTAAACCTGCGATTAGGACGTGATATCTATCTGGATAATACCATCGGATCCTTTTAAAGACACGTAAATCTCTTTTAAGATGCTAAATTTGAACTTCTAGTAGACTTATGTTGGGAGTGTTTGCCCCTCTGGCAAGCTCAAAAGCCATGCTGTTTAAATTTTAGGGCTAAAATGAATCATAAACCTAAATGTAACCTTAACTCTGTGTTACGTAGAGAGGCTCAAATAAAGTTAACAGGAAACAAATACTGTATCTGAAGAACATTGACTGTATAAAGAATTGGCCTTCGGAAGTCCCTTAAACCTGCATTATTTCTAATGGCCAGCAGGGGGCGACTCCACTGGTTGCAAAAAAAGGTCAGATTGTATAGAAGTCCTTGAGAAAAGGACCCCGACTTGTAATGAGTTTTTAGCTGCTAATTTAGCGTTTGCGTCAGATCCACCCCTCACTCCTCCCCAGCTCCACTCTCATGTCCAAATATGGTCACTTCTGGCTCCAAAAGACCAAAATGCCGCCAGTTGTTGGTAGCCTTGGTGGTCGTTGTTTTCTGGACAGTTTTTTAAGCGATGATTCACTAAATTATTGTCCTGTTACATAAAATGAAACAGATTCAGCTCAGATGTGTTCATTTTCTGTGCAGCTTACCTTGCAGACTCCATCCACACAAACATCCCTCCGCCCAGGGTGGCAGGGTGTACCGTCAACCACAGTGCTGCGGTGACGATAGTAAAAGTTTTCTCCTCTTGGCATGCAGTTCAGCTCACAGGGGTTCTCAGCTGTCAGAGATTTTAGAATAAATGTGAGCTCTCTCAATTCACATCCCAATTTTACCTCCGTTTTTTTTGCTACTTTTACTTTCGTTCTGACCTCCATAGTATGGGAGCCACTTGTAGCGCTTCCCCTGGAAGTCAGTCCCATCAAACTGGGAGCACTGCTCTTCACGGAAATCCTTGGATCCCTCTGGACAGTCCTGAGTGGAACAATGGGAGGCAGCAGAGGGATCAAAGGACAATTAAACAGAAATACTTCAAACATCCTATACAGAGATAGTAAAATATAATATATCTGGTTTATTTACAGATGATACGTTAATTTACTTTAATGATTGTTGTCTTAAGTCCTAATATATGTTATAGATTCATCAAAGGCATAAGCATGTTTATAAGCCTGACCCTGATTATGAAATAATACAGAGCATTAAAAAAAAGAGCTCAAGTTTGAAAAACGTTGTAGTTTGTTCACCTGGATGTTGCAGGAGCGGTAAGACTTGTCTGGTCCCACACAGTTGTGTCCTCCATCAGTCCTGTGTGTAAAAAATAAAGCATAAATATGAGACGCTATTGGCAGATCGATGAACCCTGATGCTTGACCTGATGTAGAGACAGAATTTTCCACATTATCTTCTTAAAGCACAAGGATGAAGTAGTCTCTCTCAAAGCTGAACGGAGAGGAAAAGTGATGTCTTAACTTTGTGAGTTAAAACTTCTGTAATATATGAAGCCGCTCATTCTTAAAGGGATGCTCCACTAATTTAGTTTTGGTTTAGGGTTAGGATTAGGTGACCTGTTCAAGAAGTAGCCAAAGCCGAGATAACCTGACGTTTAAAGCTCCAAAACGACTGGATCGTACATTTCTCATAATGCAACAGGAAAGCATTTTTCATTAGATCTCCCCTCTGCCACCACATCTTCGGTTTGTAACTCAGACTTGTTAAAAATCTTAAAGGATTTAGTGGCAGTGAAGTTGCAGATTGACTTCCAAGCACATTGGAAAAACAACAGTGGCCTAGAAAAGACCCTATCTAGAGCCAGCGTTTGGTTTGTCTGTTCTGGGCTACTGTAGAAACATGGCGGTTCAACATGGTGGACTCTATAGAAGAGGACCTGCTCCCTTGGCTCATTCTTTGGTAACAAAAACACAACAATTCATATTTTCAGGTGATTATGCGCAAATTAAAATGATAGAATATTATATTCCATTTCTGACAATGGATCCTAAATGTTCCCCACTGGGCCTTGAACTCAAACTGAGATAACATTGATGACTTTAGCAGGGTTACGTTTTTCCAGACCTCCGGAGCCACAGATGACATCCTGAACTGCTGAATAGAACTCCTCATTGCATGTAAACTGGTGTAAAACCAGGGTAGTGACCCTTAAAGCCAAAAATATGTGTTTTCAGTGCTTTATCGGTGCTGTAAAAAAAACTGTTTTTGCATCTTCTCCGACTGAAGTTTCATTAAAACTTTATGTGATGCAGAAACAGGTAATGACTAGGTGAGGCTGCAGCGGATATATGCAAATACAGCTCAGACTGTCTGCGAGTGCAGAAATAACAAGTTTCAGCTCTGACATTAAGTGGCATTCCTCTTTAATCTGTGCCTTTAAAAAAAAAAAACAAGCTCTCAGCAGCCGGAGAAGCCTCAACATCATCACTGTTGAGCCTAAAACCCGCACAAACATCGGTGAACCATGAGACAGCAGATTGTTTTGCCTCCCTCCCTTCCAGCCATGCTGATAACTCATGATTAAGTCACCTCCAAAAGTACCTGCCCTTAAGCCTAAAAACAAGACACGCTCTTGTCAGCACGCCAGAACTGAAACTAAAACATGTCCAAACGCTCAGTGACAACATCCAGCCTTCAACTTTTCACCTGGGAATGAAAAATAAACATTTGGAGCATAAAAAAACATTACTTTCCATTTAAAATGATACATGACAGAAAGATTGGAAAAGTGATGGTTATTCACTCAAATTTATTGATCACACAAAATTAAAATAGATTACAGACCATGACTGACTAAATGACAAGCTTAATCCCACTTGCAGCACTTTAAAGTGAGAACTATTTGGAAGGAGGTCAGGGAATTTTATACTAAAATGAATGTTGGGCAAAATGGGAGTTCCTGTAAAGCACACAATGAGTCAACAGCTGTCTAATCATAGTATTTAAAGGTGTGATCCTGGCAAACCTGGCAGACAAGATATGACAGAGTTCATCCTTCTAGGTAACGGTGGGCAAGACTGTTATTCGTCATTGAGCTAAAGAGGGGAAACAGACTCACTGACTGCATGGACAAGCTGGAAACCGACATCTAATGGAGCATCAATAGACAGGTCACTCTGTCAAACACCCTACATACAGTAGATCTATCAGGGCTCACTTTATTCTGCACAGGCTGTTTTTCCTTATTGTGTAAATGTGAAAAACTAAAATTTCCTACAGTTTTCCTTCACATAAAGGCAACAAAAAAACATCAAACAAGGTGAATCAGAAAACTGTTTGGACATGTTAAAGAAACAGCTCATTATATGTTCTGCCTGGTAGGCATCTTTCTTGTCCTTTTTTTATCAGATCCCCTTACAGTTATTGCTTAATAACAGAGACACACCTACAAACACTTTATGACCAGAAATACTGTAAACACAAAAAAATGCAGCTGATGAATGACAGATGACTTATCGTTAGAAAACTTGTTAACTGTTCAGAGGAAATCCCAGCATTAATGTGGGTTTAAGCACTGTAGTATGGAGTATTTGTATTTTTGCTACTTTACACTTCTGCCCTGCTACATTTCAGAAGGTAATTTATCTGCCCTCTGTAGTTACGGAATACTTTACAGATTTGAATATTACATTAAGAAAAATAATATAAGCTTTTATTATACTTTTTTTAAAGTTTAATCCATGGTCTTCCAAACTTTTTGACCTTTTCTAAATAATAAGTGTCTAGTTAGAGCCACAATTTCAGATGTCTCTGAGATGTTAGCAGTTCCACCAAAGAATTGTCCTTTTAACATCTCAGATGGTTTCATTTGAATGACTGTTTGAGACTTATTTTACAAAAAGCAAAGATTAAAGAAAGGTCCAAAGAGTTATTGTGACCCACTGGAGGAACCTGCCGCCTACTGTACGTTGGGAACAACAGGACAAACCAGCTACAAAATGCTGCTACACATTGATCAGTATTAACAATCTAACAATGTCATATATGACAATATATCAGTCACAGGGGCTAGTTTTCTTTTGTTACTTAAAGTACATTTTGCTGCTCATACCTTCATACTGCCACTTAAGTAAGTTTTGAATGCAGGATTTTTGCTTGTAATGGAGTATTTTTGCATTAATGTCACTTCCACTTAAGTAAAAGGTCTGAATATTTTGTGATGAACCAACATAAGACACACACCGCTTCCAACCTCATAACTACTCATCGCTTTATGTGTTACATGAGGCAACATGCCGGCTGGATTCCAGCAATATGAGCTACCAACGGAGCATTTACAGTGTAAGCTGGCAACAACAAGCGAGCATGACTTTATCACTCCTCACTCTGTCCTGTTTAGTCAGACGTAAAGAGAAGATTTATAAGCCAACCTAAAAATGGACTGAAAACCATATTTAAAGATGTGATACTTTAAAAAACCATATGCAGCAAGGGAAGAAGATTATTTTCAAACCACTTCTGAAATCTTTTTCAGCCTAAAAAGGGCAGATAGAAATATTCACTCCCCATCTGATCCTCTTCAGCAGTGAGCGGGCAACACCCAGCAAAGAGAAGTCCTTTTAATGTTAAAGGGCCCCTCCCTGCAGTCTGCTTTGGATGTAAGACAAGCCCACGTCCTCGTGACTTCAAGGCATTCTTTTAAAATCAAGATACAGTCTGTGCCCATGAACCTCACAATTAGCTTTATTCACACAGGAAAAAAAACCCTGTGTGTGTATTCAGGGCCTCACAATGGACTGAGTTTGTCAAAGACAGGCTGGCTGCGAGTCCGTGTGCAGTGTGTGTGTTTATACAGCTATGTTTATGGATATGTAGGTGCATTAGAAACAGATAAATCAAGGCAGGAGACATACCTGTGGGTGATACAGCGTCTGGTTCTCAAGGTCACGCCGCTGCCACAGCTACGGCTGCATTCTCCATAAGGACCCCACGTGTCCCAGTGATCCACACCGGGCACCTGCACACAAGACAGCAGTTTATACATCACAGTGTAACATTTCACTTCGCTTTCAAACCAAATTTCACTGAGTTTCAAAGTTCATTCTCGGCCTCAGAAACAGCAAAAGTTGTAAAGGTCAAGAATTTAAATTAAAATTAATTAATTTGAAGCATATTTAAAGGACCAATGTGCAGGATTTAGTGGCATCTAGCCAAGCATGAAGAAGAGAAACTACATTGCCTGCAAAATAAAAAAAAAAAAAACTCTTATATTCAGGTGATTATACACTAATGAAAACATATCTATGAATACTATAGTCAATATCCTCCTAAATGTTGCACACTGGACTTTTAAACACTGAAGTGGTCAGAAAAATTTAAATCTTAACATCTACAATTACATAACAAAGGACGAAGGTTGTGTGATACGATTGAAAGCTCCAGACAGTAACCAAATGGAGCTTGAAGTGAGATTGTTTTGTCAACCAAATCTAACATATTATACTACTATACATGTATGTTTTCTGGACCATCCCCTCTGCACCATCTTAGGTTTGATATCTCAGGTTTTTGGTGGTGACTTTGTCTGCAGCTTTCATTGTTTCTTATTAGTGTGCATTCATTTTGAGTGGAACCTCATGGGAGTTTACCGTGAGTGCTGGAGCCAAGAGCAGCTGAAGGATTACCAGAGGCAGCAGCATCTTCATTGTTTCCTGGGAGAAGAAAAAAAAGACGAGACATCCAGAGTTAGTCACTGTGACTAATAGAGGCTGTTACACATTGAGCAACTTTTCCGGAAGCAAGCCAGGACAACAAGAGCGGAAACTGTAATTGATATGAGATACAGGCCAACACATATAACAGGACTGAAGAGACTGAGCAAAACCCTCTTCTTATCTGATCCAACAGCAGTAAACACAACCCCTGCAGCGTTTAGTATATAAATCAGTTATCAATCAGTAGTCATGATTTCCTTGGAGATCTTTAAGCAGATCATCAAGCTGAACGTACACAGTCACTGATGCAACGGCATGTCCTGTGGTTTGGTTTGCAGCCACCAACCACAGCAGATATTCAACAGCTGGATCGGCATCTGTTTGTTTGGTTAGTAATGTTTATATCCATTGATAAAAACCTTGTGTGTCAGTTTGAGCTTTAGTTAGTCCGACCTGGCTGCTGAGTTTACGTAGAGGTTTTGAAGAGGGAAATTCTGGATTATTTTTCTTTCAATTCCCAGAGAAGGAAGTAATCTAGAGCTGAAATGATCAGTCAATTAATCAGCAGCAGTTTTTATAATTTATCAGTCTTCTTTGCTTTTCTGATTCGTTAAGCGAAAATGCAAACAGTCTGTGTCCTTGGTGTATCGAACTGTAACACATGTTGATTTTCCTTCTCATCTACGAAAGTAAACTGAATATCTTTGAGTTTCGGATTGTTGGTCGTACAAAACAAAACATTTTAGGACCAGTGTGACGCATTTAGTGACATCTAGCGGTGAAGCTGCAGATTGCAACCAACTCAACACCACTCGCCTTCCACGCGTGTATGAAAAAATATGAATATTATGTTCAATTTCTGCCAATACATCCTCCCCAATGTTACACACTGGACCTTTAAGATGTTACAATGATGAACATTTTTCATTATTTTCTGACATTTTATGGACTAAATGATCAATAGAGAAAATAGCTTACCAACAAAGACAACACAAGCATCTATAACAAGGCCAAATGTCATGTATTTTTATGTATTTTAGGATAAACAAGGAGAGAGCTTTTTGTAAGATGTCCAACACTTTAAACACCAGCCTTATCATTTCCCTCCGCTATCTCATCTCTTAATTGCTCAACTGAGCTAAAAATGTCTCCTTTGTTGCACGCTGAGAGGCTGTTTGTTTGTTTTTTCCGGGGCAAATGGAGGGTTCCTTGCCCCCTTGAGAGAGCAAGAAGGGGGTTGGCTGTAGCTGCCAAACCACCTCTGACCCCGTCCGCTATGACGACAGAATGCCCCTGCAGTGAAGAGAGTTTCCCTGCAGCCACAAACACCCCACAGCGAACAGACAAGAAGTCAGGAGGACTGATTATGTCAGAGAGGAGAGAAGACAGACAGTCAGCATGTCTGATCTGTCTCTCTCAAACACAAACACTCGCTGCACCGAAAGCCCCAAATTGAGCAACTTAATGGTGTCATCATACCTGGGTGGTGATAATCTGGGCTCCTCTGTCTGAGCCTGCAGCGCTCATTCACTCCTCAGTTACACGGAAAGGTAAAGGAAATGACTAGGGCCGCTCCAGTGACTGCTTCCATTACCAATTTATCTGCTGACTGTTTTTCCCATTAAACAATTAATTGTTTAGTCCATAAAATTGTGAAAAACACCATTACAAGTTCCCAGAGCCCAAGAAGACAGATTCAGATTGCTTGTTTGTCCGATTAATGGCCCAAAATCTCCAATTAAAAACCATACAAAACAGAAAAAATTGGCAAAAGCTTAAATCTGAGAAACTGGAGCTGAAATGTTTGACTTTAAATGACTTTAAATGATAAACTGAATGTTAAAAGTGTTGTCAAATCCTTTTATATCCATCAACAAACCCATTGATAATTCCAGCAGCACTGTGGCCTAACTGTATTATTGAGTCATATCAGTTATCTTCAGGTTTTAAATGAAACTCTTTAAATTAAGAATGATGGTTTTAACTAAACTGATCCTCAGCAACACCCACTAATAAAAATCCTCTGAACACACACTGCAGACACTTTAAAGTCAACACATACTTTGAATACTTAAAGAATAGAGGCTGGAACCAGCAGATATTTGGCGTTTTTTTAACGGATGAATTACTTTAATTCACATTGATAATTCTCTAATCCATGAATTGTCTAGTCTGACAGATATTATGAGAAACCCAGAGTAAAAAGAAATCTTTGTGTGATTCCTGCATCCCCTTACTTTTTATTGTACCAGCTCATAAGCCTTTAGCCTCGGGCTCTACAACCAAATTAACAATTATTCATCAGTCAGCAGGGCAAGCAGTGTCTTGTGTTCAGTGTGTGGAGCACGTCTGCAACTGGCACCTGGTCAGTCTATCATTAATGGATCCTGAAGGAGAAACTATTAGGCTAAATTTAGACTATTTCTGCAGAGAATAAATAATAAATCGACCGTATCCTTTGATTTTATTTCCATAAAAGTGTCTCTGTGGGCTACAAGTTTTGGTTTATTGTAACTTTATTAAACATAGAGACCTATTATTATCCTCTATGGTATATCTATTATATTCCACATGTTAATGTCATTCAGCAAAGAGCTTTTACCTCCTCTTGTGTTTTTTTTGGATGATTACTTTTATTTCTATTAAACAAAATGTAAATGTAAACTATGATTCAGTCAGACAAACTTTTTTATTAACCCTTCTAACAAATATTTCTGTTAGAAAAGTGAAAAAAAGAGAGCATTTTCCCCTTAAAAACATCTAATTTAAAGGAAAATCAGACAACGAAGGAGCCTTCTCAGTCATTCAGGTGTAATCATTAGACTACTCACCCCCGTTCAGTGGTTTTAAAAGCGGGTTCTTGGAGTCCTCACGCACCGGTGGATCCTTGCGGAAGGACCGTGCAGGGCGCAGCAGGACTGACAGACAGCTGGTTTCTCTCCGGAGCTCTGACTTGAAGATGAGTCTGAAAAAGAGCTGCAGTATATATGAGGAGGGTTATCTGGCTGGAAACAATCTCTCTCTCTCTCTCTCTCTCTCTCTCTCTCTCTCTCTCTCTCCCCAACAGGAAACCGACCAGGAGAAGGAGAAGAGAAAGTCTCGCTGGTTGAACCTCCTCCTCGGCGTCATCAGCGCGCTTTTTAACCAGCAGCTCATCCAAACCAATTACAGCCCCTCCTGACAGGGATGGCGATCTCTTTACGCACAGTCTGTAATTTCAGACTATAAAAATAACAGTTAATCAACGTGTTCGTTTGTTGTAAGGCCTCCACAAGCATATATCCTCCACTGGGGTTTTGAAAGAGTATTCCCACTTTGCTATAACCAACACCTCATTATAATGCTCTCCCGCTGTATGCGTAATACCAGGGCGATCCTCCAAAGCCATCTCCCTTGAATGTTTTGGGTCCAATGGGAGAGCAGGGTTATTATTTTTAGCTAAAAATGGGTCCTAAATGTTACCTTACTGTGTGAAAAGAGGAGCTCACTGGAATGTTTGTTTAGTAGGACTTTAACACTTGTGTTTTGTTGACATTTACTTCCTATAGCTTCAACTTAAAGGTCCACAGTGTAACATTTAGGATCTGTTGTCAGAAATGCAACATCATTTTCATTAGTGTACAATCACCTGAAAATAAGAATAATTGTGTTTTCGTTACTGTAAAATGAGTCGTTTTTTATTACAGAAGAAGTTGGTCCTCTTTCACAGAGGTCGCCATGTTTAACCGCCATGTTTCTACAGTCGCCCAGAAGGGACAAAACACTGTCTCAAGATCAGGGCCTTTCACGTTTGTTGCAAGTTTCACATCCACAATAGTTTCTCCTAAATACTTGGAACAGGACGGCGAGGCGTCTTTAACTCCACACCACCAATTTCATTATTTTGTTTTTCATTTTTAAACTTGTAGTCCTCAACTGATGCTGACTCAAGTGACATCACTTGAGGCAATTTATCAGATTTCGTGCAGCTCCCTCTGGAGCCACAGAAGGCTTTATACAACTCTTTTCTCATATACTACTATACTATACATACAGTATGTATATATATATATACTATGTAGTCCCCAACACTTGTAAACAGACTTTGATATACAGCAAAATGCTAACAGCATGCTAACATTAGCACAAAACACAAAGTCCAACTGAGGCTGGTTTGTTTTGCAGGTATTTGTCCAGAAGACAAGTACTGGACAAGTTAAACATTTACCTGATGATGGCATCAGATGGAAAATATCTATACCTTTTTCCAAGCAGCCATTTTGACATGAAATAGCAGGATAATCCCAGGTGTTACTGATGATGCTAATTAAGGTTCTTCTGCTGCTATTGTGCATGTTGGCTCACTGGAAAGGACCTGCTACACTAACGCAACCTTAATTAGTATCATTGGTAACACATGTGATTAACTTACTATTTAATGTCAAAAGAGATATTTCAATAAAGAACCAACATGTCAACTTCATCACCAAAGTACTGTAGTTCATCCTCTGGGGGCCACGATGTCTGTACAAAGTGAGAAAATCCATCCACAAGTTGCAGTGATGTTTCAGTCTGAACCAAAGTGGTAAACTGATGGACAGACACTGTAACACCCAGAGCCATGCTGTCAGAGGGGCTAAAAATAACCAGAATAATTACAAAATCAAAAAGATTTTCCCATTTAAATGTTTTGTCTTTTCTTCTGACCATATTAAAACCCAATTAGTAGACGCCTCCCTTTACCACAAACTGGGCGTGCACATTTGATGAAGGTGGCAAATGATGGAAATTACTATAAAGCATTGTTATTACACCAAAATAAGGGAATATTTGTTATATGGGATATGTATGAACAAATAAATAGTTTGTCTGTTTGCCAAAAAAGTTATTTACAGACAGAAAAAGTTACTTATGTTTGGGGTCTAACTCGTATGTACAAAACTCTTAAAAAACTCCAGTTACAGAAATTTAAAACCACTCATTTGGGTTTCGGGAGCACAAAAAAGAACTTCCAACGCCAATCACTGTATTTAACTATATGTTACAGTTCTGTCTCTGTCTCTGAGACAGACTTTTTAAAACATGTCATCAGTTTAAAATTGTGTTTATAAGAAATTCTCAAAAAATAAGTATCAAGATAATAAAACGCTGTTGTGTATTTTGAACTGTGGAAGAGGTCCTGTAGTCTCCAGAACCTCAAACAGAACATTAGGGTTAATTAAATCAGCCCCTGAAGTTAATCTCAAATAAACAATAACACAAAGGCTCTTAGAGGAATCTGACAGTTTAATTGCTGTATCACCCAGAACATGTTAAAATTGCATCCAAGCAACATGGAAAAGTGATTATTTTTGGTTTTAAAGAGGAAACCGCCTCGGCCACTACCAAAGCTGTGTTTAAACTTCTGCCAGTATATGTTTTAAAAAAAAAAAAAAATGATACCCCCACACCTCCTGTCCTCGCTCCTCTCCTCTCCTCTCTCCTCTCTCCTCTCGTTTGGAGGTGAGGTTTTTTTCTAAACATCCCAACAACCCACTTTGCACTTTGGGTTGCCTTGGGTATGAAATGTGCTATATAAACCCAGTTATGTAGTTGTGGGCTGATGTAAAAATACATCTTGGGTGTATTGTGTACTTCTTAAGCTAACTTTCTACTGTTTACACGTTTGATGGTATTTTTTTTGTATTTTTATTGGTTTCTTTTTTGGCCAATGATCCATTCAGAGAGGATGTGTGGAACAGCTAGAGAGGGGGGGCATTGTTTTCTTCACATGTGAATAAACCAAAGAAAAACAGATTTAACTCCCCAGAAAGCGCTCAAGCCACATGTTTGTTTATCTGATTACACTGAAGGATCATTTTCCATGTTTAGGCCAGACTGAATGACTCACAGGCTTTAGTCTAAATGTTTAAAATCAAAGCGCTTCACAGGTAAACCATAGGTTTTCTAAAGGGAAGGAAACTAGGCGTCTGCTCGGCCTTAAGTTGGTTGAAACGCCACTTAAGTTCAATGGACCATCAAGCATAAATTGAGTACCTTCTGCAGTCTCATCTTAACCTTCACATAGAAAAAAAAATCTTTGCCATTTATTTAAAGCTCCTGAAAAGCATCATGTCCATCCAGTTTCTCCAAACAGCTTGTGCAGCATAATGCAAGTAGTTATTTTCTGTACTGTCCCTTGTGCACTCCAGTACTCCAATGTAAAAGTAGTAAAACCACACTGTAAAAATAGACGATTACAAGTCAAAGTCCTGTGTTGAAATTGTTGGTAAAATGTATCAAAATGAAACATACTTATGCAGAAATATCATATAATATTATTATATCACTATTATTGATGCATTAACGTGAAAGCAGCATTTAATTGTAGAATTTTTGAATATTTCAAATACTTTTGGGCAGTTTTTTAGCACATTTTATCAAATGTTGGCATGTTTCATATGTTGAATCTTAATTTGTAAAGTAGATAAATGTAATGGAGTACAATATTTACCTGTGAACTATAGTGGATTAAAGTGGCATCATATGGAAATACTTCTTCAGTTTCTCAGTAAATCACAGCTAAACTTTGAGGTGAGGTTATTTTGTTTCTAAGGTCAAGAAAAAACCTTGAACCATGAACTATTAAACCTAAATGAACAAGATCTGAAACAATTCCTCTTGATAACTGAAACTCCATCTGCATCTGATACGACCAAAAGCTCCAGAGCTGCTACTAAATGGACTTTCAGGTGCGACGTGCAGGACTCAACCCTTCATCCAATTATTCCTCCAAGGAGAGCAGGTTGTGTGATCTCATTTGTTTCTTAATTAATCTGTTGTCGATGACCAAATATGGACTGACTTAACACTTCTTCCAGCAGGAAGACACCTGTTTACTTTGGTTACCTAATTACCTTTCCTCTATCGCCACCATCAGGGCAGACCTGTTCTTCATTGACGAGTGCATCTTCTGACCCATCACTCACAAACACACAGTGTCGTATTGCAATGTTACGCCGTCCACCTGTAATCAGTTTATTGATGTGCATTCATTTCCTGTAGTTGTTGAGGTTGGAAATAATTTGACTTGTTCCCGACCTGCAGGTTTGGACCACCCAGTGCGTCCCAGGATAATTCTGAGGGGTCAAAAAATTATTAAAAAATAAAAAATCTTTATTTCTGTAGCACAAAACTGTTTACTTTTTCTTACTTTTGTCCAGTTTTGGCTTTTTTCTTTCTCATTCTCACTTCTTCATGTCTCCAAAAATCCCTCCAAATCAAACAATCCAAGATGGAAGAATCTTTTCTCTTTGGTTGAGTTGCAAATCACAAAGTTGTACATGATGCCTTCAGCTGAGGATTTAAACATACTGAACATCAGCAGTACTTTATTGGTGGTATACATTAATAACACATTCACCCACATTTGCTTCTTGCTTTTCTGTTTTTCTACGTCCTGTGACCCTGTGTGGAGGGAGGCGCCTTCACGTCCCACAAGGTTGAGGGCAGGAAGGGATAATCAGGTATATTTAACACTTTGACTTTACAGAGACCAAACGCAGGTGACCACCCACTTCTTCTGGCCACTGAACGACTAAAAATAACATCCAGGGCCTGTCACCAAATAAAACCTTTACAGGGGCAGCGCAGCATAGCTTCCAGGCCATGTTCTTGTTTTAATTATAGAAACCTAATGAGCCCAATGTCTTTTGCACAATCTTTGCCCACTTTTGGAAAAACCCTCTCCCTTGTTCAACCAGATTCCACATTTTCCACATCCACATTTCTTAGAGACCTCCAGTTTTGATTCCTGGTCATTAAGTCTAGCCATGGTTTTAAAAGGAGCCCTAAGCCACAGGATTTAAGCTAACATTCAAATTACTAAGCTTTGCATCCATGCCCTAAAATGTACACATATGCAGACAGAAAAAAAACACACTTTCTATATGTTAAAGAAAACATCTGTGCCCAGTCTAGCCCTCATGCCCACCCAGTATTTAGAAATCTTCTGCAACAAGCTGGTTTTCCCATCCGCCTTGTCCAGTCTTGTTCTCCTCCAGGATTCTGGTTTCACTGCACCTGGGTCCACCTACAGTCATGTTTCTCCTTCCTCCTCGGGGGCCTTCAGAGCTGCCGGCTGAGCTTCTGCGCC